ACAGATTCGAGGATCGTTTAACGCCATCAGCGATTTCTTAGGCGTCCAATCTCGTTAAATTATTGAAAAATCCTCGACGTGCTCGGTTGGATCATGTTGTTGCTCTTCTACATCGGATCCCAACGATAAGTTGAACGTTAAACGCTTGCTAGGCGTGTGTAACGCTTATTAACGGTGTTCGCGTTCCCGTGTCGATCATTGGGATCGATAGGGTCGAGGTCGTGAGGCCAGATACGCGCTGATCGATGATGACCCGGGCCTCGATCGTCAAAGCGGCTTCTTTCGTGCTTCCAAGTTGATCGATGATCCTATTCGGGATCGATTCACGATCCTTCGCGGCATCTGTTTGCTACCGTGCGGCATCCTTGGACTGACCCAGTTTCAATTTCTATTAATTACGGCCGATTAATGGCGCCTAGCGAAGCGAAAGTAAGAAAAGTAGAATGTCAATTGCGAATTCTCAAACGATTACTACTAGAATTTGAGGGATAAATTTTGTTAAAAAAATCATTCTACTGTTCAAATAATCTAGTTTAATAAAGTAATATGTTATTTAATGATCATTTTTCTAATATTTTACCTCAGACTAGAGCGATTAAAATTTAATTGTACACTTTCGAAAACTTATTGCTCCGTAACTAGGTTATAGCATTTATTATGCACCGAACAGCAGAGTTATCCTGATATTTCTCAACTGTAGATCCTTCACAAATTAGTCTTAACTGTTTGTATGCAACCCAGTTACCGAGTTATGAATTTCTGAAAGTGATACATTATCTTCTAAATACACTTTATAAATTGCAATATTATGGGGCACTACTGAACTTTGAATGAACAGAAACAGTACCCAATTTATAATTATAGCATCATTCTTCGCGCCACTAAAGGTGCAATGAAATAAATAAACTTGTCTGAGAACGATGGTCGCATCAACACGTACTTTACTTAGTAAAATTGTCAACTTTTCCTGAAACTCGTTGGAACGACTCAATTTACAATCAGCGGCAGTTGACGCGCGTTTTCGAGCGGAACGGACGATTTCACGGCGCGAATCGTCTCAAGAGACGAGTCCTGGACTGAATCGATGAAGATCCCCGACGATCCACGCAGAGGCGTATTTCCACGACGTGGTTTCCTAGACACCAGACCATAATGCCGCGATTCACCGTGGGAATCTCGCGACCAGTACCGTTGTGCCACGTCGGTCTCGTTCGTTGTCCCATCAAACGAACTGTGAATCCATTTAACCCTAGCGATTGTCGCCTCGACCAACAGCAACAAGGGTGGTCATCGTCCGTGCGACATTTTCTAGTCACGCATGTGCGAAGAAAAAGGACTCTGCTAGGACGATGATTTTCTTACGAGAGATATAACAGAGATGACGTTCCTTTGCAAGTTCTAGTTCTTTTAAAACCACGTTTCTCGTCTACTTTTAACCGTTAGAAGTTGAAAGTAGTGAACAGAAGATTCGTAAACTTTAATTCGCAACTGTAGCAGAGTTAGAAAAACTAATTGCCATTGAAATCTTCCATGTTTGATACTATCGTAGTCTGGATACTTGCATCGTGTGTAACATAATACTACTAACAATGCCACAGTGGAATACTATCGCAGTTATTCCAGTGGGACATTCAACTGGTGAGCTCAAAGAGTAAATCACTAAACAATCCAGCGGTTATGATTTATGCGCATCGTTTATATCCCTCGACGTACGTATGCATGGTTCGTGGTAGTTTTTTGCTCGATTATACTATCTGTTGCGTATTTTGAAGGATTTTACGCGGAGACACATAGCGTTTGGAGAAACTTCGTTCGGATAAATTTAATTTAAAAAGTCACGGAAAGAAATCGATACCACAGTTAAGAATTTAATACGGACAATCGTCGCATAGATAACGCTGATCGATCGTATGTATAATTAAAATTAACGGTGAACCATTGTTTAACGCGATTAGAATCGATAGGGATCTGTGAAATTAAGACTCGTGAGATCGCGCAAATCGGTGAAACAATGGACTATTTATTAGCCGGAAGCATGGTATCCGGATCTACGTTTTTAATCAAAAATGCGGTCGCGAGAATGAATTTGGTGGAAAATTTTTATCCCGAGAAGGTTATTAACAAAGTGATATTTGCATATACTACAAAATGGCCGATCGCGGAGGGTTAGTGTTTAATCGCAAACAGGTCGACGCTCGAGCGTAGGCATTGAAATCTCCCGATTAGCAACGCGGATTCTCCGATCTTTGTTAGACCAGCGGCGCCATAACAACACCAGGCGTGCAATGAAATGGAAACCACGCTGTATGAAGCGGGAAGGAAACCGTTTCCCATCGACTTGACCGATATATTCGATCCCACGAAACCGATGCCGCTCGGTTCCACGTCGAAGAAGCTGAAAAAACGGAAGAGCGGTTCGACGCGGTCCGAAGAATGCACGCGATCGTTCCTCTCTCGCGGTTATTACAATCCTTTACCGATAATTCCGATCGGATCCTGGAAAACATCCGCTCGTTTACTGCGTCACGAGACTACTCTCTCTCTCGAGCGACCGGTAACGGTACGCTCGCGCGGGAAAAAAACGAAAAACGTTCGGTCAGGGTGACGGATAAATTAAAAATTACAATCGCGACCGACTGGTTCGTAATACGCGCCTTAGCCGGACCGTGAGAAACCAATCGTCCGCGTATATTTTTACCAGCGATCCATAGATCGTGACTGGCTTGGCGGATCGCGGCTAGCGAGAGCCCACGGTTTCGGTTCGTTAGCGGATTAATCGATCGAATGAAAATGCTGGCCTGCAACTTCTTACCGCGATTGGATTTTTCTATATTCCTCGATGACCAGTTCAGACGGATCGATAGATCGTCGGGACGCCTGAAACGGCCCGAAAGAACTGTTATCGAGCGCGATTTTTTTAACGAACCTTCGTGTTCACGAGCGACGAGGAAATTACTGGGTATCTTTGATCTCCAACTTTGCAATTACTTTAACGGTTATATTTAATTGTTAATAAGCCTGGTGTCTCGGTCGGGAGGCTCGTAAAATATCGAACTTTGTATGGTTCGACTAGTTTTATTTATCGAGTGAGGAATTCTTTCGAGGAACTACTCGAACAATGTCTCGAAATCCAAAATGGAGTCCAGTCTTTTTTAGCGTCGTTTAAAACAGCAGAGACGATTGTCGGTTGTTCCTGGCGCCTGGGAAAATTTGCACGGTCGCAGTGCTGCCAATCGCCGGTCGTAGGAAACGCACGAAGCCCGCAGAAGTCGAGCAGAGCCTCGCCTCGAGTTACTTCCGGTTGCCGGTCATTGTTAACGGTGGTTTTCGGCGCGCATCCGTTCGCGGAGAAAGCGTATCGCCTCGGGACGGTGCGCGCCTTCTGTTGCGGCCGCTTCCGCCGCAAAACGTGCGGTTTCCGGTGCGTGGCGCACGTACGATATCGACTGCGATACTACCTCCGTCCGCGTATCGATAGTCAGTCGGAACTGGACTGTCGCTCGTGCAGGTCGTGGTGTACCTACCATCCCGTGTTTTTTATACTTTCATCGTCCTTTGTTAGTCTTTTTTTCATTCACTATCTGTACGGATCTGTTTTTATTATTATCTCTCAAATTTTATCCAAAGATCTTACAGTACTTGTTTGTTAGTTATCTTGGTCAGATGGAGAGGATCGAGTGCTTATAAGTGTTACTGTTATATAGATTGGCCTTTCTTTTGTATAGTTGACAGTGAAACTGTGATAGTTGTGCATAACGGAATTTTGAGTTTCGTTTTAGATTCGTTCGGGACTTAAAGTGATATCACGAATTATTCGTTTTAGTGTGATTTGGTTGGAACTTTTTATTTTAATTTTTGACAAGTTGAATTAGTGCAAAGTTTATTTAAAACGTGAATCGAAAAACAAGTACCAAGTCGCTATACTATGTATACTACATGAATTAAAGAGTAGAATTCTGCTCCAGAAAAAAAAATTGTCATTATGGTGTTGTTACATTTGTTCGACATACGCAACGACCATGTTTTCCATCAATTTATATGTTTCTAGCATTTGAAATTTGCAATTAGTGTCAGCGCAAACGAAGCAGATAGAACATTATCTCGAAACTCGTATAGAATACCGGCTGTGCCGATTAGGTCTTATCAACTTCCTGAGTCTCCCACATTAAACCCAACGTGTTAACCTGATTACTCGAGTTAAAGTATCGAAAAGTGTTATCTAAGTGTCACATTACTTTATGAAATAAAACGTCCATCTTACAACAATAAAAAATTTATTGATATAAAGGAACCAGAAAATTCGGTGCAAAAAATACCGAATACGAAGCTAGCAAAGGACGATATCCCGAATTCCCCCGAAAATCGATGTCCAATGTCTGATCCAATAGCCATTCGAGCGACAAGGACCAACTATTTCGCGGATACGTACGAATCCTCGGGCGCCTTCGCGCCTCCGGTCACGGTCCAGGCATATCCTGAATGCACCCTGGGAATATCCTGGCGGTATCGTCGCATTCCGTATCAGCGAGTCGGAGTTATGAAATACCGAAGTGGAAACGCTCGACCTGCTTCGAGAGGTGGTTTTGCATTTCAGTTTCTCGATCGAATTCCACCTTTCCTCTTTCTCCGTCCGCCGCGATCGCCATCGTCGTCCCTTCTCTTTCCGCGCTTTTGTTTCGCGCGAAGCGACTGCAGGAATTTCCCGACGGCGCGAGCACACTTTCTTTCCACGAGTTCCCGTCCCGAACAACCGAAAGAATCGAATTTTTTGTTCCAAACCGCGTGTAATTCCCTTCCCTCGCAGCTTCTTACGAAATCTCGTTTCGTTGGGAAATTGCGTGGCCCCCGGTGGCCCCTTCGCTTCCGGTCGCTGAAATTACTCGATCGATCGGATTAAATAGCCGGAAGCTTAACGATCTTGGCACAGTGCTATTTATTTCTGGTCTCTTTGCGTTGCTTCTAGTCAGTGAATTAACAAGTTTGTTTCGTTTCTGTTGCAGCACCAAGATCGTCCAGTGCGGGTACCAACAATCTACCACCGCTGACGTTCCATCAGGTTCATGGTGACAATATCACACTCTGCAATGGCGGGACCATCGCCAGAAGACACGAAAGCTTCTGCAAGGGCATCACGTTCAGCGCGAGGCCCGTACGCGTTGGCGAAAAGGTAAACGTTCGAAAAGATAATTGATTAAAATATGGCAGAATGCTTTCCTTAAATCAGAAATTAAATTACAACTTCGAGCTGTTATGTAACACGATGATTATGATATATTCGAGAAGGCGAGTACACGATAAAATGAAGTAGGAAAATGCAGGTTGTAGTTCCGTGTCGTTGGAAATTCTCGAGATAATCAATCCGAGTCGCTAGCCGTGGATTTTCCTTCTCGGATGGAGAGAGAAAAAAGCGGCCATTTTTCCTCGTTCTCGTCGCCGCTCGCCCAGCAAATCGTATACGCCAGAGCGACGCTTAATTGTGAGAATCGGGTGACTTTTGTTCCACTCGACGAAGCCGTCGTTTGCATTCCCTGTCTATTAAACCGTGGCCGACCGAGCCGAGTCTGAGCGACCCTGAAGAGGCCAGCTATTTCACGTGGGCCGACGGTTTAGCGTTCGCTCGTCGTTCGTCTAGCAACGACACTCCATATTCAACTTATTCGTCCTGATTAACGACCACGAGAAAGTGTTCTGCATCGAATTTTCCAAAACTTTAACGTAGAATCCCTATTAGTACGCATTTACACATTCGAGTGACAGAACTTTTCACAACAAGAACATCATCACTTGCACTCTCTGATCCAAACGAATCTTCTCGTTCGAATATCAATTTGATAAGTATTAATGAGTTAGTCGATTGGTTCACAGCGTAGCAACGTGTCTACAAAGTTGCGTGCGATCTACGCTCTCCTTTTATCCTTCGTGGCTCCTCTCCTTCCTTCAAAGAGGAGATTGGCAGAGAGCGTGGGCGAGGCATTCGAAGGTTCTCTTCGTTGGATTTCACTAAACGCCTTGGAATTGGATTCCCCGCGTCGTTCGATCGGGAACGATCCACGGTAATTCGATGTCTTTCGCGAACCCGAGGAAACACGGTGGGCGTTAATTGGTCGATCAGCGTTCCTGTGCTTGTTTGGACACGATGATAATTGGTCCCCTCTGAGAATTACCGTTCCGCGTGTTCCAAAGCCATCTTAACCCATTAAAACTGATACAACTTCAGTAAATAGAGTGTAAATAATTTCTAATAATTTTCGCAAAAATCGAGACGTCTGAAATCCCTTCCGAGATGTTTCTTTCTTCCTACGCTACATAAATGGCAACAATCTGAAATATTCGCGTGGGACGTTGCCTTTAGGATATCTTTCTCTCAAAAGTCTCGTCTCTTTCGTTTTACATTGAAATAAAATTGTCCAAATTTGTTTAATGCGTCCTCGTGTATTCATTCTGCGCGATGTATGTCGTGAAAGCAATTGCTCGTAAATGTCAATATTTGCTCCAACGTTTTACACTGGACAACAATAAGAATACTGTTAGTTCTTGTGGAAACCATTGTTTCGAAATTGAAAAGGCCTTTCCTTTCTCTCGGCTGCCTCCGGAGTCTCATTTTTCCTTGGGAACGTTTTTAAATCGGCCGTCGATGCACTGTTGTCTCCACGTCAGACATCGACTGTCGTAAACTGTAAAAGCAGCCCATTGACGAGACAATGCGATCGTTTGAAGACTTTCCGTTCTAGGAAAGGGAACATCGTTCGGGCTCGATATTTCGTAACTGTTCCCCGCCGTTGACTGTCGCCCTTGTGATTTTCGTCACGCTCAGCCTCGTGACATAACGTGGCCGAGAACTCGATGGCAAAAAGTGAGTCTTTTCCTCCTCGACGAGATTCGCGATGCCACGTTACGATTAAAAATTATCATCGAGCCGCAAATCCCTCCACGACTTCCGGGTAAATGGTCACCGTAAACGGAATCGACAGCGATTTATCGAAATTATAATTACGATAGTCGCTTCCAGCCTCGTTAACAGCCACAGAAACAAGCGTGTGTGCTGATTAACGTTCTATTAGCAGCACGAAGGGTCCGTCCAATTATTCACGGATACGCGACGAAAGGTTGAAAAGGGCTTCCCCCAGTTCCCTTTTGAGGAATATTGAGATTGATTTAATTCCACGTCGTCGACGCGGAATCGACACCCACAGGTCGGGTTTAAATTATACGACGCTGCGATCAATATTCGCGTGACACCGGTGTCTCGTCGCTGGTGTCACGAACGTTTGAAAATTTATTGTCCGTTGAATATACTCTTCTTCGACTCGAAGCTGGACCTTCGACTTTCAACGATCGACTGCATTGCAATTTAATTTCGTTCGTTGAGTTTCCTCGATTGGAAACTGTAGTGTGGTCGCAGGAACGATCAATTTTATCCTGTCAAGGACTTCTTAATTACATCCTCCAGGACTTACGAAATTCACAAATATTTTTTCTTATACCAAAGGTATAATTACCATAATTAATATCCCACGAGCTTTACAAGATTTACGCTTTGTATGATAGGAATTCTGGGAATATAAGGTCAGCGCGTTTGGGTGGCTCTGACCCCCATTAGAAAGATTTCTAGGCCACGGGTAGCCTTACGAGGAACACCGACTTTGATAAATCGTCTTTCAATACCATGCTAGAAACTTCTAAAGAATTTCCTGTATTTCACCGATTCCTCCTTCCGACCCAATCTTCACGTAACCCTGAGCATTCTTGAAGATTGGCCCCTTCGTCAGAATTATTCCAGAAATGTTGGGTCGAAATTAAATACACGAGTTTGGTAGAATTGTTTTTTATTAGAAATTTTTATCCCCGTACGGCTCAGCTGTAATAACTAACGATCTATCATTTTCCATTGCAGGTGTGCGTGAAGTTCCTCGAGATCTCAGACAACTGGAGCGGCGTGATACGGTTCGGTTTCACGAGCAACGACCCGACCAACCTGAGAAATGGTCTGCCCAGGTACGCCTGTCCAGACCTGACAAATAAACCTGGCTACTGGGCGAAGGCCCTAGCCGAGAGGCTGGCTGACAGGGACGCGGTGCTGTTCTACTACGTGACGTCCGCCGGCGATGTGCACTTTGGCGTAAACGGCGAGGAAAAGGGCCTGTTCTTCAGCGGCGTAGAAACACGCGGCCCATTGTGGACGATCATCGATGTGTACGGCAACAGCACCGCCATCGAGTTCGTCGATCCCAACAGACAACACTTCAACAACATCAGGAGAGGCGCCGAACACAGCAACGAGGACAATGCGCAGCACAGTAGGCACTCGGCTATGGACGACGCCTGCAACACTGGCAGAGACCTCGAAAGGATCATCCTTCCGTCCATGCAGAGCATGTCGATCCATCACGAGCCCGATGTCGAGCTGCCTGGACTCAGGTTTCAACCGGCCGGCGTCATCTTCACACCGTTACCTTTCCACCCGTGAGTTCCACCATGATATTCCGTAATCTGCAACGCGAGCTGATCGAGCCCCAAGTATCCCCTAATTTCAAAGGTCGAACGTATCCTCTCGAATTCACCCAATTTCCAAATAATCGTAACGAAAATTGAATATGCTGCACGTTTTGCATGCTGTTTGATGCCTAACTCACGTTGATGTACCATACGCGCTAATTCCGTGTGACATTGATAGGACTGAATACTAATTAGGCTTTCCCATGGGAATCTATTAGGAATTAAAGTCATGTACACTTTAATTGGCTAGCTGTGTCGTGCGAAGAGCCGTTTTCTAAACCTTATTAGTTACTCAAAAGGAGTTAGACACCACTATGAAGCACCAATTTTTTAATAGAATCAAAAGCCTTCTCAGCTGCCCGTGAAATTCTCCATCCAAATCGACATTTCGTGTTTCCAAACGCCCCGGTGGTACCGGCACCCAACAGTCCGCTAATCGTTTCCTCGTTTCTCTTCCCCAGAACTCGAGGCAGGAACATCCGCTTCAGCAACCAGCAGTGCGTGGCGACGCGCACCGACACGGAATTCTGTCACGGCTACGCGTTCACGGGTCGGCCGTTGCTGTTGGGCGAGCGACTGGTGGTGCAGATCCTCGCCACAGAACCGATATACGTCGGTGCCCTGGCGCTGGGTCTGACTTCCTGCGACCCCGCGCGCCTCACCGCCGGAGACCTGCCGGACGACAGCGATCTTCTGCTGGATCGTCCGGAGTACTGGGTGGTCTCTAAGGACGTGGCCTCCAGCCCTCAACATGGCGACGAGATAGCATTCACGGTGACTCACTTCGGTGAGGTCCAAATGAGCAAGAACGGCGGCCCGCCGAACGTGGTGATGCACATCGACCAGAGTCTGCAGCTTTGGGCGTTCGTCGACGTGTACGGCAGTACCCAGCGGGTCAGAATGCTGGCCAGCAGGCCCACGTCGCCACCGCGACAACGGCAAAGCAACTCTTCTCCGGCCATCATCGTTCAGCAGCAGCAGCAACAACAGCAACAATACTCGAATCACAGCAACGCGGCCACCGAGCTCTCTAGATTCTCTGAAGTGGTTCAGTTCAAGCCTGCCGTGGGCGGCAGTACGGTTCTCGTGGTGAATCTGCCGCCTCAAACCAGCTGCCCCACGCCGCCTTCGTCCACGCCACAGCCTACTTACGCATCCGCGGGGCACAGAAACCCTCATCTGCACCTGCCACCTAGCTCACTAGCGTCCACGTCGCATCCAGGATCTTCCAGACAGACCTCGGCACCGTTGACCGGCACCATGGCCAGCACAGGTTCGTCCACATACGTGGAGCCAGTCAACTATCAGAGTTTAGAGGGGACGCTCACGTCCCAGGCGTCGTCGCACTTGCAACGGTGGAGCGAGGGCCTCCAGTCTACGCCCGGTCAGCCTAGCGAGTGCTCGATCTGCTACGAGAGGAGCATCGATAGCGTCCTGTACATGTGCGGACACATGTGTATGTGTTATGCATGCGCCACCCAGCAGTGGTGCGGCAAGGGTGGTGGACTCTGCCCGCTCTGCAGGGCGCCCATCAGGGACGTGATTCGTATTTACAGATCCTGAACAGCGGTACAGGGTCTGCGCGGAAGGAACAGTTCCAAGGGCTGATGTCTCCTGATTCGTTAAACTCGTCTCCTCCACGAATAGGCAAAACAACCCGTGCTTAGCTCGTGGATCACTGTCACGGCGTGGGTACGGCCGATCGACCGGTCTGTTTTCATCACTAGTTGTTCTCGTCTGCGACAAAAATGTGCTCAGGACGTTGGATTATCTTCACGATCGTTGTTCATCGAAGCGTTGGTCGGACGGTGGTCGGGAGAGAAAACGAAACTGATTCGTGTCGCCTGGGGTGCTCGGGACTCTTGTCAATTAAGACGTCGATAGGGACTAAAAGAGTTGGAAATGTTTTCACGGTGCAGACCGCCCATCGTCGCCGATGCTAACGCAAGACGAGAACGTGAGGAGCATTCCTGTGGACTCAGGGGGGGGTCGTCGATCAGCGAATCGATGTCCCAGGTCGGTGAGATTCGCAGTGTCGCTGGGAAAACTGCTTCGTCTTCGAGCGAGTGACTACAGTGAGCTTTCGAGAACAGGAGGGACTAGAGAATGAGTGAATGTATGAGCGGGAGAGAAAGTGATAGAGCGTGATTGAGAGTGAAAAAAAAAGAGAAAGAGTATGAAGGCTCTTTCAAACTATCGACTTTTCCCCGCACGAGAACCAGTTCGAGGACCAGCTTTTCACGGAAAATTGCTTTATTCCGGTCGTCCGTTTCTGGATCGTAGAACAATGCTTTTTAACACCCCCCGCCAGGCCTCTATGAACGCTCGCGCGACGAAGGTACGATAGTTAGAAGAAGTCCTAAAGCATTGGTCTTAGATATTTTCACAATCAACATTATATATATTATTGCTACCATCGCCAACTACTGTTAACGTTACTATTATTACACTCACCGCTGCTACTATTCTCAGCCTTTAGTTTTTATTATTTTTATCATTATAATTATTCTTAGTAATATTATTATCACGATTCAGCATCATAGTGGTCGTGTTACATTATTATTCTTATAGACGTTGCTATGGCAGAGTACGATTGCCATCGTCTCGACGTGCCTTCTGAACGTCGCTCGAGACCGATCGTTTTGGTTTCTTATTTAATACAACCCCGTGTGATTACGTAGTACGAATCTTTGTAAGCCCAGGCCGTAGTTGTTTAGATTCTACAATTTTTCGCTTTCCTCGGTTCTTCTTCCTTCTTGCTCGTGTCCTTCCTTCCGCGTTGCAGTTGCAAACGCCAAAACGCGTGTCGCCCGGCCGATCTTCTAGACGCGCGTTCCCTCTCGTTTGTTACTTTCGACAATAACGCTTGGATATAACGTTAAATAGCGTGTAAGCCGAGCGAAAGCGCAGAGCCGCAGCGACTCATTAGCCGTGTATGTATAATGATTACAATAATTGTACGTATTACCAAAGAAAAGCGCGCGACGTTCTCCTCCCGCTCTGCGTATGTTTCAAACGAGCTCACGCACCTCTTCACGCAGCCAGCCTTAAAGGACGATACGTTTTTTGATACGTTTAGACTTAGCGTGTTAACCGTTTCTACCGAGTTCGAACAAACAAGAGAATTGAGACATCGTCCACGGGCAGTCGCGACGCGCGCGCAACGTCAAACCAGATGTACCTAGCTAGCAAGCTGTCATACCCAAGCGTAACGCTCGTTTTGCAACACATCGTGATAGTATTTCAAATACTGAAATGATATTTCGTTTTAGGTGTAGCCACGGAACAAGTTAGGAGATACTTAACGTTAAATTTTTAAGACACTTGACAGGTAAACGCGTGTTCCTTTCGTACGCGAGTTTACATCCCATTCGAACACAGATTTTATTCATTACATGTATTCAGCAATGAAATTTTTAAAAGTATACACCAGTACCATGTCAAAAGCGAGTGTCACGTTTGGGCGTGTCGTCTTGTACAACTAATTTCCTTCGAAACAGACTCGTTCGTCCCGGAAGCGGCCCAACGAGATGCCGCGCGTATAGCAAGCAAGACTAGTTGGATTCCTAACCGTATCGACGACAAGAGTACAAGCAAAGTTACTATGTTAGGTTGCGTAGCGTTCTAAGGGACAGCGACAGAGTTTTAGAGGCTTTTATCAGTGTTAACGACTAAAAAGAAATTATTTGAGGGGCTCTGTAGCCAAACAGCACTAGTCTGTCCGATCTTGCCGAGCTTGGCCCGATCCGACACCACTTGGTTGCCGAAACCCCTCATTTGTTATGGACTAAAACGATTTATAGAACCTCCTGGGCATCTCGCGCGGCCGCTTCGCCGATGTCTCTTAGTTTTAACGCGCGATCCGCGCCGTGATCTGCCCCCGGCGAGTCCGTCACTGCCCCGTTGTAACATGAACAATCGAGACGACGGGCCGCGTAATGACAATGGCGCATCTCGTCGCGTGGCCCGTCGACCACGAGGATCCTCTCTATGTAAGATCACTTTATTTTCGTACAGCAGCGAGACGCGCCAAAGGGCGGCGACGTTTTTTATCCCCCTTCACCCGGCCCCTGGAACGCGTCGCGGATCCCTGCGACCTAGCGGACGAGAAACGAGCGTCCACGAGGCCGTGCCTTATAAACATTTAACGACGCGTCTTGTCGTGCAACGTTGCTCACCGAGCTTTCTTATCGATCTACGGAGATCGCCCTGGCCAGAACTCCCCTCGTGTCAGTTCTGACGGTCCCCAATGCTACGCCTCCACTCCGTCGTGCCTCGTCAGAAGGCGTTGTCGCGTGTTCGTGCGAACGCAAACGGGTGAACGAGCAACTGTGATTCAGGTAGTCGTTCGAAACGACGCATCGTTAGGGTCAATCTGTCTGGTCGACGACCTAGTTATAACCAGCTTGTGGATAGCAAATACTGTAATTTGTAATACGTCTGCTCGACGATGCGTTTGTACGAAGTCTGGATGATGCTGGAGTTGAAACTAGAATCGGGACTATTCGTCGAATCGTTGTCTCGGTGGCGAATGTAATTCGAATACTATTCAGATAATCTGGATATTTGTCAAGCTCTTTAAGTTCATTTTTAAGGTATGAAATACTCGAATGTTAAGTTATGCGAATAGTCACGGCTCTAGTTGAGAGTAGGTTGAGTTTCTAAGACTCTAAGGCCCTTGTCAGTTCATTGTCAGTTCCACGACACTTGGATAGTGTTCAAAGTTAGATAAATTTCTTAATAAAAAGATCTTGATCTTTAAACTGCAACAATATCAATTATTTATTTTTTATATATGAACCTGATAAGAAAACTTTCGTTGAATTTTAAATTATCGTTTATGGATAATATGAAACACATAAGTAAATGTGTACAAAATATGTCTCTTATTTAATATAATAATGCTAATATTTCATTTTGCATAAATGCATATGTATAGTCTGGATACATTTTAAGCTTATAGTTTTCATATTTGCATATGCCATAAAATCCAATAATTAGGTGTTTTGTATTTATGTGTAAGAGTAAGAGTAACTTTTTCTCAAGGCTCGAGTTTTTGGTGAATAACGAAACGATAGGAACCTGCAAGTGATTTAAGAAACGCATCTCAAACTACTCTTGCGTCTAAACAGCGTCATGGGTTGATCAGAGTGGCTCGTGTCCCGTTTCCGGCGACATGGTTCCAAATACATCCGGCGCGAAATAACTAGCGAATTCGTCGAGCACGTCTTCTCCAGTGAACGAGTTGTACGTAGAAACAAGTTCTTCACCGGATTAGGTAATGCTCGCAAGACATTACTGGAAAGAGCGAGATGTAGAGAGAATGAATGAGAGTGAGAGAAAGAGAGAAAAATTAGAATGTTATTAAATCCCTCGGGAGAACGAGATCGTCGAGTCCGAAGATTGGGATCGCGGTGTTCCTAACCGTATCCCGGAGACGCGAGAGCGAAGCGACAAAGAGAAAGAGAAAAAAAGAATGGTCCTTCTTGAATAACGGATGCGCAATAAAGCAGTAGTAAAATCTCTAGTCCAGCGAGCGGCAAGCTTTAACTCGCCTGCCAATCCAAAAAAGAAATGATGAGATGAGGAAGCGTGTTGATTTATGAGAGAAAGATAGAGAGAAAGAGAGAGAGAGAGAGAGAGAGAAGTAGAAGAAAAGAAATTGTATAAAAAAAGACAAAGTTTTAATGAAAGAATAATTTGAAAATTATCGCGCGTGTCGAGGCACGTGCATGGAGAATCTTTTTATTAGATACGCTATTTACGATAGAACTTATTATAATCGCGTTCGGCGTCGATGAGAGGTGTCAAAGCGAAATTCTTGATTAATTTGCAAATAAAAAAGAGATTCAAATTCAGATTCAGGTTGAGGGAATGGGAGAAACGTTTTTATACGAAAGAAGAGATATGAACGCAGCCTGAAAATGTTAAGAGAAGTTGGATCACCTTGAAAAGGTATCCTAACGATATGCAGACGCCCTCGTTGATGTCAACCGGATGTCGTTGTCGTCGTCGTGTCAGCATTACCATGCATCGATGTGTACCGATTCATTAATGTTTTTATGTTCGTCACTATCGCTGTTCTTCTACCACGTCCCCGATCCTTTTTACGCGACTGTTTCTATTCGTAAAAGTTGATCAGCGAACGTTCGCAGTCAGAGTCCGAGATTTCGTTTTTTTTTTATTGTCACGCGAGGACACTCTAACTCCTAGGTTTTTATGTGTTTCTTTTTATCGTTTTACGTTCTTTTTGTTTCTTTTGTATCGTTCGGCGTGATACGCACAAAAAAAGGAAAACACTTCGAACGTGCGCCATTCGAACGAAAAGGATAACGAGGTATGCGCGCGTCATCATATCATCGAATTGAGTGTGTGCTATCCGTTACGTAAAAAAAAAAGAATATGATACGTCACCTTGTCCTCGAACCTGTCCCCCCCAAGATGTGAAAGAAGTCTATGTGCGATAAGAGTTCTCTCCGTGAACTTAACTGTAAAGATGCCGATACAAATTTATACATATGTAATATAATTCGTGCGGCCGTGTGCTGTTCTACACAATAAAAAGCCTGTAATATCTATGGATATCGTACCGTGTTGCACCTTCATTTTTCCCCTGAAAATGCAGTGATAGATCCAGATTTAAAGAAAAAGATTTAATCGAAATATAAAAGTACATGTACATGGGTATTAAAAATATTATACACCTACTAAAACAATATACAGGACAAACATATAAATAAAAATCAACGAAAACAATGTATAGTCTATACAAAACTGAATCAGCTTCAGTTAGATCAGTCAAGCGACGACAAATAGTTGTGTCAAAGAAGAAATTAGTGTTTGTTTAATTTTCGTCTTCACCCTCGCCAGCGTCCGTCGAGTCCATACCTACTTCTTCATAGTCCTTTTCTAAAGCGGCCAAGTCTTCTCTGGCCTCGTTGAATTCGCTTTCGTCCATACTTTCCCCAATGTACCTATGAAACAAAACAATTATTCTCTTATTTATTTTATTTAAACGTTCAGCCTGGAATTATTGATAGGTTTCGAAACCGGTTACCAGTGGACAAATGCTCGTTTCCCAAACATCAAATCGAACTTCCTGTTTAATCTTGTCCATGCCTCGGCAATCGCAGTTGTATTTGCAAGCATCGCCATGGCCCGTTGCACTTTAGCCAGATCGCCACCAGGTACCACAGTCGGTGGCTGATAGTTGATGCCCACCTGAAATCGAAATTAGTATTTTCAAACACTCCGTTAATTTTACTTAAAAGTTTGATAGACAAATCTTGGAAAAAGAAATCATTTTTACGGGGTCAAGGAATAACTTTTCGAACATTCTTGGAATTTCTACATATTCTTCACTAAAATACGCGTTGTTTGCCTTTTGAAACATCAAAATCCTCCAATCCGTTCAGAAGTTACAACGTTTTAAAGATACGCAAAAAATTTTCGAGTAACATTTCTAGTCCAAAATTATATTTTAAGGAATTTTTTTCTCGAAAATGGTTAGGATTTCGAGGGCATGTCTATTAACCAAAAATGATTGCAATTGACCCCTGCAACCAACAATAATTTTTTATAATAATGTGCAATTTTTTAGTTTTCGATTTTTGCCGCTAGATGGTACCACCATGAGTTTCTTTACGTAGACACTCTAGGGACATTTTTACATACTCCATTTTTTGAACATTGTATGTATATATGAAGTTTTGTACTAGTTTAAGCTTGGAATCCTTGTTTCATGTACTGAAACTAATTACAAGCTTATCTTTCTATTAGGAAAGGCACTGATATTACAAAATAGTAGTACAAAACTCTCAAATTTGGGCAGGACTTTACCGCCATCATGCATTTAAGTTTGCACTTTCCACTTAGAAACTGGATCGGTAAACACTCGTTTGAATATGACAATTTTACAAATTGTAACATAACAAGTATTCAATAGTTCACTTTGTTACTTTCTAATATATCTAATATCAATGACATTATTTCACGGGGATAAAAGAGTAGACAAAGCTGTACCTTGAACCCAGTAGGGCACCAATCGACAAACTGTATCGCCCTCTTCGTTTTGATCGTCGCGATGGACGCGTTTACGTCTTTTGGTACCACGTCGCCCCTGTACAGCAGGCAACACGCCATATACTTGCCCCTCTGCGGATTGCATTTGACCATCTGCATTGCAGGCTCGAAGCAAGACGACGTCAACTCCATCACGGTGAGCTGCTCGTGGTAGGCCTTCTCGATGGAAACGATCGGCGCGTACGTGGCCAGAGGGAAATGGATCCTCGGATAGGGGACCAGGTTCGTCTGGAACTCCGTCAGGTCGACGTTCAGCGCCCCGTCGAACCTCAACGAGGCTGTGATGGAGGAAACGATCTGACCGATCAGTCGGTTCAAGTTCGTGTACGTCGGTCGCTCGATGTCCAGATTCCGTCTGCAAATGTCGTAGATCGCCTCGTTGTCCACCAGGAACGCGCAATCCGAATGCTCGAGGGTAGTATGCGTGGTCAGGATCGCGTTGTACGGTTCCACCACTGCAGTGGAGATCTGTGGCGATGGATAGATCGCGAACTCCAGTTTCGCTTTCTTCCCGTAGTCTATGGAGAGACGCTCCATCAGCAGACTGGTGAACCCTGAACCGGTACCACCGCCGAACGCGTGGAAGATGAGAAATCCTTGCAGACCGCTGCACATGTCCGCGATCTTGCGAATCCTGTCCAGCACCAGGTCGATTATTTCCTTTCCCAGCGTGTAGTGACCCCTCGCGTAGTTGTTCGCGGCATCCTCTTTACCGGAGATAAGTTGCTCCGGATGGAAGAGCTGATGGTAGGTTCCCGTACGGACTTCGTCTGAAGTAGGCGATTAGTTAGGTTTCAAACGAAGATTTTATAGATATCTGATTAATTAGAGCAGGTTGCAAATACAGGGTGTTCGATCAACAATGGGAAAAATTTTAATGGGGGATTCTTGGGGCCACAATAAGACCAATTTCAAGAATACCAATTTGTTGGTCGAGGCTTCGTTTATAACTTTTTAACGAAGATCAACAAATTGGTATTCTTGATTTTCGTTTTATTTTGGCCTCTAGAATCTCCTATTAAAATTTTCCCATGGCGAACACTCTCTATAGGGGGCATGAGACTTACCAATGACTGTAGGCTCGAGGTCCAAGAACACGGCTCGTGGAACATATTTTCCACCGCCAGTTTCACTGAAAAAGGTTTGGAACCCTTCGTCATTAGGGCAACCCTGAGGTGGCAGCATACCATCGGGTTGTATGCCATGCTCCAAGCAGTACAATTCCCAGCAAGCGTTTCCCATTTGAACGCCGCCTTGGCCAATGTGAACCGACAGTACCTCACGCTGATAAATTGGGAAGAAAGTCGTTTAAATAAGATTTGCATTGGCGCGAAGGATTCTTATTACAATTCCAAAAGGGTTGCTATCTTTAAGCAAATGATTGATATACAAATTTTCGAAGTACTTTATACTCCGTAAGTTATTTAATTATGAAAGGCTATTACCATTTTGACGATTCCTTGATGATGTTAGAAAATGGAGGGTGAGACGAACAAACCACGTTGACACGATGGACGAATCTAACTAAATGTAGTCTCGAGGAATTTTGTTTTCGTTGCCGAGTAACGATCGTCATTACGGTGAAGCAATTCGCATGTCAATTGAATGGAAAATATAATTCCAATGCATAAAACGATCGAGCAATTGTTAGACCACCGATAGGGAAATTAATTTCTATTTATTTATAATCTAATTTGAATTAATCCAAAAACATATAGAGGGATTCTGATTTAATTGGGGCATATTAAACTATGTGTCAGTCATGAATTTTGTTATGAAGAAATATTTAATTTTATCCGTTAAGGGTGGCCACCCCTGTTCGAAGAACAGTTCGCTCCGTGTACCACCCGACGAGGTGGCCGAGAGGTTAAGGCGTTGGACTGCTAATCCAATGTGCTCTGCACGCGTGGGTTCGAATCCCATCCTCGTCGACTTACTTTTTGCTTTTGGTACAGTTGTATTTCATTTAATTCATTCGCTTAATATACTAACGTGTCGTCCGCGTTTAAATAATTATTAAACGTGTCTATTTATTAAATTGAAATTGCGAATGGGTGCCTGTGAAAAGGAGTGATTTTATAAGTTTTTGTTAATGCGGCGTACGCCGAAACGTTCTGGAACGCATTCTAGAATGCGTCGGGAGAACATTCCAGAAGGCTGTGATGCGCAGTAAAGCAAAAAATTGATGCGCCTACACTCTCTACCTGTGGCTCGCTACATTGTATGCATTTTGGCAAGGAAATAAATGTTATTGTTGGTTAGTTATGGTTCTCTAAAATAAAACCAAAGTTAACAAGATCAGTGGTCTGTTTAAAAATGAATTAACGCGACTAGAACCAGTATAAAGGAAGTAGGTAATTATCATATTGTGGTTAGTCGACGTCGACATCACATCTATCGATATCGATTATCGATGGCGCTGCTGTTTGACTTCCTTTCGAAATAAACAGAAACGATTTATTTCATTCTCAAATATAATTTATTATCTACTCGTTATAAAAATATCGTTTAGCGTACATTAAACAAGTTTAGACAGTACATTGATATATCATACAATAATAATATATAAAATATATGTTCTATTTATACATCGAGATTTTAAATGCGGAATAAAACTATAGTTTCGTATTAATTATATATTAGCTAAGGCACCATTTTTGATTGCAATGATATTATAGATACAAAATTACTGGCAGTGGGTGAATTAAGATCGTGTTATAAGTTAGTTTAAAAATACATTTCGAGCGTTAATTATCGTTTATTTCGTTTTAACGAATATGGGATATTTTCTTACTCTTGTCGTTTTCGATCGGCGGTGGCGGACCTTTGGCATTTTGGTGTCGATTATATACACTGGAAGAAACGAATAGATACATCGTATTTCAAAGCGTATTCGAAGCATGAAAACACCGCTTTTAGTACTCACTATTTATATGTCTCAGAACGAATGTAATCCATAACGTGCGATATACCCACTTGCAGCTGATCGCCGATCGGAGTAACCCATGGATTAAATTCCATTCTGAATACTGCTTTATTACTTACTAAATCCAGGTTTCCTGTAACACGATTCCTCGATAAATATCTCCAAACTGTAGCCTAATTATAAAACGTTATTGTAATCGGTGTTCACCTATTTCCGGAGGCAAGACTGTCAATCGATTTCCTTGAATATGCAACTCTCTCAGGCGCGTCAATTCGCCTATTTCTTTTGGTAATTCTATTAAATCGTTCTCTCTCAAGACAAGCTAGAATGCGATTAAAAGACATGCATAATTTACAAGTAACAGAAACAATAACCAACAGTTACGAGAGTATTTTCATGCTTACAATTTGTAAATTTTTTAATTGTCCAATTTCAGGGGGTAAATATTCAAAATCGTTGTCAGCCAAATAAAGTGCTCTTAATGTTTCTGTAAGAGTAAATATCGTATTTTATACCTAGAAAAAGATGTATTTGTTTAAATATTGATCTTATACTAACCCATCATAAAAAAATTCCCTGGTAAATTTTTTTCATTCAGATTATTATATGTTAAATCTAACACTTCCAGTACTGGAAATGCACCAAATCCACGCGGAAGCACATCCAATTTGTTCATTCTGTAAATTTATTTCAATTGCTCCTTAAATTTTATATCTATCATATATCTAAGCAACGAACTTACCCAACATTGAGAATCCTTAGCTTTGGCATCTGTGACAACGAGACGGGAAGCTCAGTAATATGATTATTAAACAGATTCAATATTTCCAAATTCATCAAATTTGCCAGACCTGGTGGTACAACTATAGAAATAACATATTTGTAAACAATGCAACTGATTGCTCCCCATTTAATTTCGATTTTCCAACAGAAATTTACCTTGAATCTTATTGTGGCTTAAAGTCAATCTGGTTATATTGATCATAGTAACTAAAAAGAAAAAAACGAATTAATAAATAGTTAAGAATTAAAGGAAACTGAAATTCCAAGTATTGGGAGAAATCGAACTGTTGAATAAAATAACAATATTATTTATATCAAAATCAATGTTTGCAGTAATTATAACAGGATTCTCCTTAATAATTTCGTCATTGATATTTTGAATTGTTATATTTTTGAATATAATTTGGCACGCATGCGTCGACACGCCCACCTCGTGGGCAGTGACAAATGGCCACCTCAGATTCCCATCCGCTCCAAAAAACCAGTCGCGACAAGTTGCCTAATTTGGCGAACGGAACGGGTCCCATGTGGGTACGAAAGACTCACGTAATCCAGGCATCTCCTCGAACGTCGAGATACCCTTATCAAAGAGATCCAACTCTGGATTTTGGATCTCGCGGGCCTCATCGAGCATCTTTTTCGCCTTTGACATCTTCCCGGCTGGAATACACGACACTGGTGCTCGATTCATTGCGCGCGCAATTGTACCGCGTCAGAGTTGTAAATAAACATACGTGCACCTCCCCGCGTCTTCATGCACTGACTTCACCGTCGGTCGACTACATTTTATCCACAGATCTCCATATTCTATATATTGGCTGCAGTACAGGGCACGGGGTATCTAACCATAAGAAGTATTTGAGGCAATTTGAACGCTGCCATCATTGAGAATGAACCACTGGTGGCGCCTGGCCGGCATTACATCTACTAAGTCACTAGATTGTAGTAACTAGATAGACTGTTCAATCGAATAAACGTCGCAAATCAATCATTATACGTAAATGAAATTTACGGTACATGCACAATAATAAATCGTTCTATTACTGCATCCAAAAAATAGTAGCTTGATAAACATATGTTTATCAAAAGAGTTTGATTAATTTTGATGTGTAGCATACGTTGATAACTCTTTAATTTGTTGGTTACTTTGAAATCGATTCAATTATTGTTTTCTCATCTTGTTCGCTTAATTACGATCACGTTCGAGCATGCAAACGGTACGTGTGACCGTGATTCGACTGCGGTAACATGTATACGCATGTATACTTGGGAGGGACGTGTTAATCTCAATTATCATTTCATTTTTATTATAATGCGTTCTATCTCAGAGGTGCCAGAAAAGCATCGACGGTGCTCTACTCACCCATGCCAGATCACGCGTACGTGAGCTCGTGGAGTTTCGGAAAGTCGACAGAGGCAATCTGACGCATGCCCTCTTTCTCGATAATCCGAAACTGCCCGAAGTCATTTCGGACCGCCTCGTGGGAGTCGAGAGAGAAACTCATATTTGCCTCCTCGCTCTTGAACAACTGAAATTCGACCTTACGTCAACGCATACGATTCCTGGTCTCGACTGCCCAGGTATTTTTATTTTCCGACCTATATAAGCGTACATAAACAAGGTACTATAATGAACAAAAATCTTGTGAAATTTTTCTTACGGAAATACACGTTTTAAGACTCCCTACTCATATTTTAACTATTGAAAACAAAGAAATTTTTTGTTATTATTCCTATGTATGAGCGTACATATGTATATCATTTCAGATATCACTTCTGATACATCTGGCAACGTATAACCATTACTGCTGGCTACTGCCAACCTCTCGCAGCCTCTGTTGGCTTCTGCTGGCCCCTGCTAACCACCGCTTATATTTCTGACAACGTATAACGATTACTACTGACTTCTGCCAACCTTCGCTGGACTCTGTTGACCGCTGTTGACCTTTCCTGGTATTTCTAACAACGTATAACGATTACGACTGGCTACTGCTTGCCGCTGCTTGTCACTGCTTGCCACTGCTGGTCTCTGCTGTCCACGGCTAGCCTCCGCTATCCTCTGCTGACCACCCCTGATGCTTCTAACAACGTATAACTATTACTACTTGTTACTGCTGGTCACTGCATGCCTCTGCATCCCTCTGCAGGCCTCTGTTAGTCCCTGCCGACCACTGCTGACCACTGCTGACCTTTGTTATCAACTTCTGACAAGATGTATAAGTATTCAAGCCTTGTATAATGTAAATCTATGGCAATAAATGATATAATTTAACAGAATTCTATGTGTTCTCATCATTTTTCCCTTTCTTTTCCTCTCCAAATCATTGCCTTAGTTTTAAGAGACCGTTTTTCCGGTTAAAATTGGATTCCCAAAGTGTCCAGCTCTCGTACTTGCTGCCAAAATAAAAAATTAACTTTTAAATTTTTTTCTGTAATCGTCAAAAAGTCCTGAAACAACTGGGAAGTCCTGAAACAGCTGGAAAGTCCTGAAACAGTTGGGAAGTCCTGAAACCGCTGGAAAGTCCTGAAACAGCTGCAAAGCCCTGAAACAACTAAAAAGTCCTGAACACCTAGAAAGTCCTGAAACAGCTGGAAAGTCCTGAAACAACTAAAAAGCCCTGAAACAACTGGAAACCCCTGGAACAGCTGGAACGTCCTGAAACAGCTGGAAAGTCCTGAGACAACTGGGAAGTCCTGGAATTTCTTGGAACCGCCGAAAATTCTTGGAAACCCTAAATTTTGAGCAAAGTTCTGAGTTTCAAGACTTCCTAGTGGGTTCAGGGAAACCAAGGAGTTTCAGGGAGTCTTATAACTAAGGTAATGATTTGGAGAGGAAAAGAAAGGTAAAAAATGATGAGAACACATAGAATTCTTTGTAATTATATCATTTATTTTCATAGATTTACATTATACAAAGCTTTAATACATATATATCATATCAGAAATTGGTAACAAAGGTTAGCAGTGGTCAGCAGTGGTCAGCACTGGTCAAGAGTAGTCAGCAGAGGCTAGCACGAGACAGCAGAGGCCAGCAGAGACCAGCAGGGGCAAGCAGTAGCAAGTAGTAATCGTTATACGTTGTCAGGAGTATGAGGAATGGTCAGCAGAGGTCGGCGGAGGCAGGCAGAATTCAGTAGTAATCGTTATACGTTGTCAGAAATATAAGCGGTGGCCAGCAAAGGCCAGCAGAAGCCAGTAGAGGCCGGGAGACGTTGGCAGTAGCCCGTAGTAATTGTTATATGTTGTCAGAAGTATCAGGTGTGGTCAGAAGCGGTCAGCAGAGGCCAACGGAGGTTGAGTTGTTCAAGAGCGATAAGGCAAATGTGAGCCTTTCTCTCTCGACTCCCACGGGACGGTCCGAAATTACTTCGTGCAGCTTTGGAGAATCGAGAAAGAGGACACGCGTCAGTTTGCTCTTTGTCGACTTTCCGAAACTCCACGAGCTCACGTACGCGTGATCTGGCACAGTGTGAGTAGTGCACCCGGTGCACAATCTGGCATCACTGTTCTATCTTGAGGGTTTCTATTTTTATACCGGCGGAGGAGCGACTGATTTCTCTGCCATCTGTGAACCAATAAGAAAATTCTTGATGCGACTTGCATTGTGCGCGACCTCGACTCTGGATTTGCGTGTTCTAGAAGAAATGGACGGTTGTATTTATGATGTCCAATGCAAAAGGTATTTTCGGTGTTATTGCTCGATCGAAAGATAATCGGTTCCGGATAATTCTTTGTTAGCATTCGCGAAACGATGCCTGATAAATTGACTGTGCGTTAGCGTTGCACGAGTCGATGTCACAGGCTGCTTGTTTGTTCAATGTACTTTTACGTTTTGTTGCGTTACAGCGGTTCAAAGTCTCTTAGAGACTAATAATATTTATCTACAATGTTTCCAAGCGTCTATCTCGTTTGGCTTAAAATTTGAACAAATTGTATGACTTTATTGTACACTTCGTACGTTTATGTTGTTACGACGTAACGACGTACGACGTGTTTGCGACGTTACTCCGTAGACTATGATGAACAGATTTATATGTTATAATATTAGAGTATTTGTGTTTGCATTACCACTTTGCAGGTAACTTTATAATCACTGTGTTCACCAAAGCTTCTAAGAGCCTATTAAGTAGAAGTTAAGAAAAATATCAATTGTGGTTGATACAAAACGATTGTACAACATGCTTTCCAACTGTGGTGATACAACTGAAATGACTGGTATTTATTTTTGTAATGCATGGTACTAATATATCCAAACTCCCAGTGTTTATGGATAATGACTATTGTAGGCCCCCCGCAATCAACGATTATAGAGGGTATCTCTAGTACAGATAGTGTTGGCACACACAGTGACATTTCTGGGCATACTACAATCTGTGGAAGGCCAAAAATGGATGTGGCTTGTGTCTTGGATGTACAACAACAGGAACACTTAGCACAGAGAAGAAAAGCTTTGGAAGAAGTCAGACAAGCATGTTATCTAGTTAATGCCAATATACATCATATACAGGTACTATAGCTTTTAGATGCTATGGATTATATGTTTTAATATCGAATCTGTAAACATACTTTGTTGGTTTTTTAGTTTGAAAAGCTGGATTTTGGGGAAACAAATGTACTTGATACATTCTATAATGCAGATGTAGCTGTTGTGGACTTGAGCATTCAACTACAACAGTCTGCATTGTTTTATCACCTTGGTGTTAGAGAAAGTTTTGGCATGAAAGAGAACATCCTGTTGCATAATGATGTAGACACTGAAACAACAATTAGGCTCAAGGTATGTCCTGTATTATATTAATGATTCAAATACTAAAAGTAAGCTTTGCTATTATAAATATTGTACTTTAATTTACAGTTATCATGCGGCAGCTATACATTTGTTTCGTACCGTGTGGTAGACTGTGGTTCATGCGTTGCTACAAATCCAGCTACTACCAGACTTACCGGGGAGGAAGTAGTAGACCCAAAACAACATCTTACACTGAAGCTCAAAAAGTTATTTCAAGATGTTGAAGTACAATCTAAGTATGTTTTCACATTTCACTGCATCATTATCTTATATTGTCTTAATTATATCATAGTGCATAGTGCATTTGTTTCTTATCTTATCGTTTAGTACATAAAATTGTTTTAAATCACTTGCACAACCATACGGAATCTTACCAAGTACAATAAATTTGAACTTATTTGTGCGTTACACGTACCTAGAAGTAGTGCCGCACTTCTAGTTTCGTTAACAAATGTACGATTTTTGTAGAGCACACATGAAAGAAAAGTTCCTAGCAGATTTGCGTAAAGCACGCGAAACGTATTCGGGCGAAGAACTTTCGAAAGCTTTGAACAATATGCGTAAACGTTTGGACGACCCGAACGTTTTGTCTGGAGAGGTTGTCTTGAACGTGCTCATCTCCTTCCGTGAAATACAGGTAATGTAACATGTGTTTCATTCCAGAACGCATCCCTTTACTAATCGCCGTTGTGAATTTCTTTAGGATTACGATGCAATGGTGCAGTTAGTCGATGATCTAAGAACAATACCGACTCACAAAAATTACATTAATACTCCGGCTATTCGTTACCTGTATGCATTCGCTTTAAATCGACGAAACAAGGAAGGCGATAGAGAAAGGGCATTGAAAGTTATAGAAAAAGCTTTGGAAAAGAAAGAAAATCATGTTCCTGATATGTTATGTTTGTGCGGGAGAATATATAAGGATAAATTTGTAGAAAGTAGACATACGGACGAAGAAAGTTTAAAGAACGCGATCCATTGGTATAGGAAAGGCTTCGAGGTACGATATGCAATTTATTTGCTTTCTAGATGTTTAAATTGCACAATTTCTTCGATTATAACGTAACATTTGTGCATTAGGTTCAACCAAATGAATATGCCGGGATCAATCTCGCCACGTTGTTGGTTATAGCGGGAAACGAATTTTCAAAGAGCGAAGAATTGCAGCATATTGGCATGGTGTTGAATAATCTCATCGGCAAGAAGGGTAGCTTGTCGAGTTTGAAAGATTATTGGGACGTGGCTACGTTCTTCGAGATCAGTGTGCTGGCCGAGGATTATTCGAAAGCTATTCAAGCCTCCGAGTGCATGTTCAAATTGAAGCCGCCGAACTGGTACGTATCGATTTTAATCGAAGCGTCGAGAATCGAAATGAAAATTGCCGTGCATTAACGAGAATTTCCTATCGACAGGTACCTGAAATCGACAATAGGAAATATAACGCTGATAGATAGGTTTCGTAAAAAGAACGAAGAAGCTGAGGTTTCGCCAGAGGAGCAAATATTTAGTTTTTGGATGGACTACTTTGTCGAAGCCACGAAATCGGAAGTTGGAGATAGTATACGGTTTCCAGTAAGTTGATAAATGGAATCGTTCTACAAAGGATCCAGTTTCCAATTCGGGAGACTATGGCTTATAATATTGTGTTACCAATCCAGCTTACTTCTGTACATTTTGGGTCAAAGTAAGAATAATATAAAACTGCTCTTAGTGCAGATTTTAGCTCGACTTTAATGAGAACAGATTTTTATTAACTTTCGGCTCTAGCGAAAAGATATATTAGTCACCAGGTTCTTTTGTTTTCAGCTCTTAGTGCTGGAGCCAACGAAGATCTTGATGCCGAGCTATGTAAACGTCAACCTCGGGGCAGAAGAGAAATCGGTACAAATATGGAATTTATGTTTAGACAATATGAAGAACAATTGCAAACAAGTACACGATTGGTTGTTCACCGCGAACATGATACGTAGCGTTAGCCTGTACAAACGGGACGAGCGCTGCCTTTTTCTATACGTTCATCAGAACTCCGACGATTTCCAAATGTATTTTCCGTCCGTTCAATGCAGACAAAGATTTTACGATTTAATCTTGGAAATGACCAGGGACCAAGAAGGCATGGTTGCAGACTTGGATGCTTACTTGACCGACGACAGAATGAAGGTTCGTGGACAGTTTTTAAATCAACATCCATCATCGATCGAATTTCTTTTACGAATGTTTTCCGGTTTATAGTTTGAGTATGAATTAGACGATCAGAACAAACGAATAATATTGGGAAAGGGTACATACGGAGTCGTGTACGCAGCTCGAGATCTAAACACTCAGGTTAGGATCGCGGTTAAAGAGATTCGGGAACGAAATTTAGGAGATGTTCAACCTCTGCACGAAGAAATTAAATTGCATAGTCAACTGAGGCACAGAAATATCGTACAATACCTTGGTTCGGTCAGCGAAGACGGATACTTCAAAATATTTATGGAACAAGTTCCTGGAGGTGAATAAACAACACGCGACAATTTAAAAGGAAAGCATACGATATATTTGTTTTGTGCTTGTTCCTTCAGGTAGTTTATCGGCTTTGTTAAGATCCAAGTGGGGCCCCCTGAAAGAAAACGAATCTACGATTGCTTATTACACCAAACAAATTCTAGAAGGTCTCAAGTACCTCCATGATCAGAAAATCGTCCATCGAGATATTAAAGGTGAAATATAATGATAATTTCGTTGTTGTGGAAACGTTCAAGTTTTCATTGTGACTATTGTTTTTAGGCGATAATGTTCTAGTAAATACGTATAGTGGGGTGGTAAAGATATCAGACTTTGGCATGTCGAAACGTTTAGCGGGGTTATGTCCAAGTACGGAAACGTTTACTGGAACGTTACAGTACATGGCACCAGAGGTTATAGACAAAGGACAGCGTGGATATGGGGCTCCCGTAAGTTACACGTTTCATATACAGAACTTAAACTGCATACTGTAAATTGTATAACGTTATAATGTAAAATGCAGGCAGACATTTGGTCTCTGGGTTGCACGATAGTTGAAATGGCGACTGGTAAACCACCGTTCATCGAGTTGGGATCGCCTCAAGCAGCAGTTTTTAAGGCAAGTTAGGAATATTTTCCAAGTCATACAAATGCAGACATCTTTTAAATTCTATTTGTTTCGATAGGTTGGGTACTACAAAATACACCCTGAAATTCCATCAGAACTGTCCGAAAGAGCAAAGAGTTTCATATTGCGCTGTTTCGAGCCAAATCCCGACATAAGAGCAACTGCGGCCGAGTTGTTAGAAGATCCATTTTTAAACGAGTGTGTATTATATATCAGTAAATTGTTGTATACCTAGAGATATATTATAAATAATGTGTTTTGCATGTATATGTACAGAAAAAAGAAAACCAGTCGATTGGTAGCGCCACCAGATTTCAGTCGTAGCATTTCAGTACCTGCCGATAGATTCGAACGTTTAGGAAAATCCGACAAAACCAACAACAATCACATCGTTTCCGCTGCGCCCATTCAAACTTCCCAGTCGGACGACAGGTAACGTAAACGATTCATTTACGTAATACACATCACATATGCCCGAACAGCCTTGTTGTTACAATTCACGAATATTCTCAGTTTTTGTCTCGCTTTGGCATAGAAAGGGATATGTTCGTATGTTCATTTTTATGTTAAAAATAGCTTTTGTGCTGGTCAGAGCAATTTATAATGATAATACGATGAACGGTATTCTTACAGCATAAATAATAAATCTGAATACATTGCACAGAATCTATTTAATTTTCTGTTTTATTTTTTCGTTCTTACACGATCTATTTACAAGTATAAGTATATTTTTTGCCACCACATTGTTAGTAAGTATCTGTTATGACGAAATATAATCGAAAAGTGTTACATACAGTGGAGGGTTGACAAAGTCAAGTCCACTAAGGGAGCGCAGTCCAGCACACCTTCTGTCTCCTATCAGCATGCCCACTGCAACCCTTTCTTTTAACAGGTATGGTACTAACTTCATAATCGGTTGATTCTCTTCACGAAGGAATAGAAAATAACAGTAATATACCTAATAGTCAAGAAATTAATTATCATTAACATCGGCTACCCGGTATAATTTATTATAAGCAACGCAATAATTTGTGCTATTAAATGTTAATGTGTTGTGGGCAACGCGGAGTTTCCTGTTCGTAATCGTAATGTACGTAATTTGGTCTCTGCTTGAAGAAACGAAGACGAAGAGCAATTTGCTATTTTAATATTCGTCGTACACATATATACATCAAGCCAATAATACTACGATCCGAAGCTTGGTGTACTAAACCAGTACAATAGAAATACATTAAAATCTTGATTATATAATCGAGCAACTGGATCTTAATACTCTGCATATGCTTCGTAATCATGCTTACTATCCGTTTTAAAACATTGTTCGGAATATACTCGTAACTTCATCGATTGTTATATGTATTCAGGTTTATTTCCAATCAGATGTTCTGCCAGGAAATGTTCTTGCCCTTGTAACACGCGCGCCACGCAAACTCGACACCCGCAAAGCTTAAGAACGTAAATATAAACAGCGTTTAAAATTAACGTCAGGCCTCTCGTGTTTTTAGCGGAATAGGAACCACACCGTCTATAGAAACAAGCGAATCCGACACAGCTGGAGCGTCAATGACCCGTAGAAGCTCCTCGGGTGGATTGTTGTCGCCGGAAGTTGAACTAGGAGGTGAGCTGTCGTACACGCGACCCGATTAAAATGGCGGCTCACGCGTATTGCATTTATCTTTTCAGAAATATTCTTCATGTTATAACGAATAATAGGAAAATGTACTGAAAGAATACGCTATCTTTTTCATTCGGGAGTATAAATAACTTTCAAATACTCGATCTTTGAATGTTTCCGTGCCGTTGATAGGTCAACCAGGGCAGAAAACTGGCGAGGAGCAAGAAGGTTTCTATTTACTGAAGAAAGACAGTCAAAGAAGAATGACGCTCACTAGAGTCCTTACGCAAGACGAGGCAAAAATCTGCGAAGTATGGATGAGGGGTATACATCAAGCAGAAGGCCAAACTGTTCTTCAAATGGTAATTAATCGTATAGTTTTACTAATATAACGATTTCATTTCTTTTCTCTTTGTTTAGAGCCATTTAGTTTTGTTGATGCGTGCCCTGAGGGATTACATCGCGGAACAAAACCACGAAGTAATCGGGACTGCCATTCGAACGTTGAAGGAAGAGTTGGATTTTGATTCCACTGCCATCAATCATTTAAATCTAGCTATTTACCTTTTTCAAACTGCGGTGAACGAAGTTCTGCGAATGCATAGCATAAAGCCCCACTGGATGTTCGCGCTGGACAACTTGGTCAGAAATGCTGTTCAAGCTGCCATCACTGTACTCTCTCCTGGTAAATTTGGGCTGTTTGATACATTTTATTCGTAAATAATTAAAATCGCCGCATTGAAAATTACTATGCGAGTAGCGTAAGTGATAGCGGACGTGTTAAATCCGGGCTAGATTCACACGGCCTTTCATCTGGCGATAAAACCAGGCGTGTATTGTATACACGTATCAAGTGCGATACATATGGAGATGTATTATCGTGTCAACTCTAAAAATACCTCGAGGGAAAGTCATCACCAATAATAAGGGATCCCTTGTGAATCTAGACCAGACCTCAGCGAGCAGTTTGCTGCTCTCCATGTGTGCGCGCCATTCAGAAAAATCGTTCATAAAGAAACGTAAATAAATGTTTGTAAATCTACGTTGTAGAACTCGGTGCCAATTTGCTGGGTCAAGAACGCGTCCAGACCGGCGGTCAAGGTCCAGAAGAAGGATCCACGTCCGGCGTGTCGACCGTGAATTCCGTAAAGTCTCAGAAAATCGGCGATTCCGTCGATAACAAGTATTGGAAGGAATACCGAGATCAAATGGGAGATATGAAAATGGAGAACATGAAATTGCTGCAAGAGTTGCTCGAAAGCCAAAAATCGTATCAGATTTTGTTGCAGCAAGCTCTTGACGAGCAACGAGCTCAGGTTAATACCTTGACGCGGTTATGCGAAAGCATTAGCAGAAGAACTATGCGGCAGGAATCAGGGTAGGTTTCAATAACTCTATTTTCAAGCGTTTTCTAAGAATATTTTGTTTTTCTCATTTTATGTCCGCAGCTATAATTCTTCTGTGTCTGGAAACAATCAGCCGGTGTCTGTGATTGTTAGCGATGCACAATTTGATGCAGCTTCGTATACGGATCAGGCCCTCATCGAGTGGCTGCAAAATCTACAAATAGACAATGCCTCCATGGAAAGGGTAAACGTTTAATTGATATTAAAGCGTCAGAGCTTGTGCTCATTTAATATGATGATGCGAGTAAATACGTGTGGGCTGTAGCAGAGATTAAAAATGCATATTCAATTATTACTTCCAGTTTATGTACGAGCAGTACACATTGGAGGACATCTTGTGTTACGTTACTCGCGACGATATCCGCAAGCTTAATCTCAGGTAAATGTTACAATTTCTTTTTTTTTTTTGTATACACGGAACATGTGTATGTACTTAACAAAGTGTTTATTTAGAGGGGGAATTGAACTCAGGATATGGCAAGCTATATTAAAGCATCGACAAGGTAATGGCGATTAAATCAGAACGAGACAAACACAATTGATTGTAATATTAAGTTGCGCGCGACATTGGAATTGGTCAACTTCATGCAGGGTAAAATACTTGTTCAAAATGTGGCTGCCACGGGATACCAATGGCTAACAAGCAAAGTTATTAGATGACTAATAATAAACGTTAATGCTTGTGTCGTTTGTTAAAATACTTTCCCGTGAACCGAGAGTTCGCGGGGAATTTTGAATGCACAATGATATTATTAGTTTATCTTGTAGTTCCTAATTATAGAGTATTGAATAGTTACGAGACAGGTGTGTACATACGACGAATTTTTCGTATACTGATTTGTTTTAAAGGAACTTGTTACAGTTGAAGTTTACATAACCTGTTGGGAATATATTTAACAATTGTGTTTGATAGAAATCAGTATTGTTGCGTCGAATGACTTTACATGCCGTGGTCGATCGTATGCAAAATTTGCGTCTGTTCGAAAATTATGGATTTCGACTCGTTACTGTAAATTATTGATCTTGCCAAGTTTAACAAATCGATATCGCGGTCACAAGGAAGATGATCATTATTTGTCTGAAAATTTCAAGCTCTATCGACGCTACTGCCAGAAAAAAAAAAAAACTGATATTACCGAGGAAATATATGTACATGTAAGAAGTTGCCTTATACTTTTGTGTTCAGAGAGAACTGAATAAATACGAACGAATCGCAGTTGCTAAGCTAAGATATCTGCGAATGGATGCTCGCGTATGCAACGCGCTTATTTGCATTTCGCGTCGATACAATGTTGCGAGTGAGAAGGTCATTCATACGCAATGGTTAGCTTTGGATAAAGATATTTTTGAGAGGAATTAAGCAAAGAATCGTAGTGCCTTACAAACAGTGTAATAGTACAAGAGAAGATATTTATTACGCGGAAATGATAAACGTTTTGTTGTTGTATTTCTATATTTCTGAAGATTTATCTAAGTTTTCTTAGACGCACGCGGGAACGTTCATTAGACGAACGGTCCTTGCTTGTGTTAGCTATGTATATAAAAGTGCTTGTTATAGTTTGAAATAAGAGTTTGCTATTAACTGTGCGCCCGAAGTCTGCTACACGTACGTTACACCGATTTTTGTAGACACAAATTTTTATATAACCTCAAATTTCATGCTTACTCACGCGACTTCTTACGGAGAGAACTCGTGCTTCCTTTATACACTGTATAGAATAACAACGAACCGTGTCTTCTCGCATCTCCAATGCCACTTCCGTTGCAATGATACATTATGATCGTGAGAAACAATTTAAACACAAGTGCCTAATCGCATCAGGGACATCGAATAATTTCAGTTAGATCGTACGTTAACGTATATACGCTTCCAGCGACTCGGAGACCAAACGTCGACTAAAATAATTAAAGGGTCGTCTGCCTAAATGCTTTTATTCTTAAAGATTTGTCATATTAAATGCATAATATATTTTTTAATTCTCCTTCAAAATTGTTTTCAGACACGACTCTGTAATTATTTCGAACAACCGTTGAACTGCGGAATATCGATGAAAGATTTTCTGCCTTCGGATAATTGTGCTCAAACGACGAGTGACAATCGTATTGTGCGCAATGATCTCGACTAATCGTTAAGGAGTTTCCATTGCTGTTTACATCCACTGTATTCGTAAGATTAATTATCCTCGTTACTCTTTCAGGCTGAAATTTGTAATAAAGATTCCAGCGAACAGATAAGTCGACTTTCATTCCTCGGTCCCCCGGTTATATTGGATAGTAGAAGGTCCCTCGGAAAAAATTGCACCGTTTAATTGAAATCGAAAGTAAACGAAGCTGAGAAACGGTTCCCGGTGACGCGGGGAGACGAGTACGTGATCGGTTCGAGGGGCTGCTGCCTCTACGCTATAGTCGGAACAAAATCAGCTGGTCGCCCAGGGGGAGGGTCTTACGATCCAAACCAAAATTTTCAATATGGAAAATTGGATAACTTAAACGTTACTCGTCGCAGTTTATCAATTATTTACAAAATATATGATGCAGTAAACATCATTTTTTATTTTTTTATTTTTACTAAATTCTCTTAATTTTTTTAAGGTGGAGCCTTTGAAAAAGTTATTGGAAATGCAAGAAGGTGAGAAATGGAAATGTAGAGGGCGCAGTATGACGTAGTGGGGATGACCTTGAGCGACCAGTCGATTTTGTTCACACTATAGCACGCAACATTTATATGGATGAGACGTTCTTTTTATCCGGTTGTGATGCTTCGTTTAAAAGATAAGCCAAATAGATTCGCAGCTCATCGACGTCGGGCGAAGGCCTCCGTGTCTCCCCCCGGGTGGCTTTTCTTTCTCCTTCGGGATTATCAGCGCGACACGATCTGGTTAGGGGTGCACGCGCGGAGGAGGCGTCGTCGTTACAATTTCGTTGCACGAATTCGAAATCTTTTGTGCGACGGTGATTGGAAGGGAAAAGTGGCCACGTCCGAGGGGGTAGTTTTAAATTTTTCAGGGAAAACGAATGCACTCGGAACCGGCCGACGCGCAAAATTGCGAAAGTTTCGGAACGAGGGTCGAACCTATTCATTTGCACTACAAAAAAAGCCCGCGGCTTATAAACGCATCCCCCTCGAACCAGCCGCTTGTTTTCACTGTCGAGGCTACCGTTACTCTCTCTTTGCGTTTCTCTCCTGACTCATTTCGATGCATTTGCACGCGCGCAATCCACGCAGCCTACCCTTTGGAATATTTAGGGGTCGATCGCGGGGAATTTTCGTTTACCTTCTTCGCGCTACTCGCCAGGCTTCAATTCGCTGTTTAAAGTTGTTTTTATCGTCACCGTTGTTCACTTCTGGACTATTTATACTAACCGATTTTTCTTTTAATTAAGATACCTATTCACTGGTAAATAATATTTGCGAGTTTTGCAACATTAAATACAGTAATTCCAATCCCAAGGAAATATTTAGGGGTCGATCGTGGGGAATTTTCGTTTACCTTCTTCGCGCTACTCGCCAGGCTTCAATTCGCTGTTTAAAGTTGTTTTTATCGTCATCGTTGTTCACTTCTGGACTATTCACACTAACCGATTTTTCTTTTAATTAAGATACCTATTCACTGGTAAATAATATTTGCGAGTTTTGCAACATTAAATCCAGTAATTCCACCCCCAAGGGTTAAGAGCGGAAAATTCCATTACACGATCGTAAACGGCTAAGTTCGCGCAGTATCCCCGGTTTCTTTACCACCACTTTAGACCGTGGCTTCCGTATATTCGATACAACGAATATTTCCTCGCGCTATCTGCCCCCGCCAATAAACGACGACGGTTATTGCAGACATCGCAGGAGCGTTTCGACCCCCGTTTTTCCGCGCGTTTATCATTAGCAATTCCATAACGGAAGTCTGCCGCTGGTATCGAAGACTTACGATCGGCACCGCCTTCGCAAATATAAATGTTAATGTCCCTTTGTCGGGTTTCCGCATAAATTACGCGAAATTCGCGAGATACAGGCCGCGGGGAGCCAGTGGAAGGGTGGGTTCACGGCTAAGCGGCTCGATTACACCCCGAAATGGGGTGCGTTGCTTCTTTCCACGAATTATTGTACGCTGGCTCGTGTCACGTCACGTTTCACGAGGACGGTAACGATTTTTTTTCTTACCCACATATATTGTTGATTTTAACGACGGTCGTATCTTATACGAATAAATGTACGGTCACGCGAACCCGTTATCGTTATTAGACAAAGTTTCAGCCAGTGTTCAGAATTCATTCCGGGCTATCCGGAAGTTCGCGAGGCCGACGGATCAGAGATTAGATCCCGTCGACTTTAAGCAGAAAGTCAGTCGCAATTTCACGGAATGGATCATCGTGCTTGGCCGCGTCCTCGAGCGTCGAAATCGCAAATAAAACGGCGCAAACATTCGCCGGGACCCGACTCAATCGCTGCTCCCGAACGAGAAAGGGTTGTTCGCCGCTATCGGGATACAAATCCCAAGCTGTCTGGCCGGCCCTTCGTCTCCCATCGCTTTTCCCTCGAGCTCTCTTTCTCCCTCTACCTTTTAATTAACTAACTGCGCCGGCGGTGTAACTAAAGAGGATCCGCGATTTTCGAGTACGAGGCTTTCAGCGCCGCCCGAAATAATCCATTTGCCGGGCGAAAGGCTAAATAAGATTATCGCGTCAGGTTCGGCCGCTCTCAGAGACGAAAGCTCGCGTGTATGCGTGCGCGGGTGAGATCGTATCCGGTAATCCCCTTTTCAGTTGTAATTGATTGCAATTCTTCTGGTGCTCGGTTGACGCGAATTATGAGTCCCCAACGTTCCGCTCTGATCCCGATTCGAGGGGGATGATCTTCGGAAAAATCAGTTTCCCTGAGCCCCGATGGAAGAGCGAATTTGGAATTTTCCGCGCTTGCTGATTTGTATACAGATTGATCTTAGAAGCCGAAACAAGCCGTCTCTTTTAAGGTAAGATATATCAAGAGTGCAAAGGTAATAAACTGTATAATGGTGATTCGCTATAAATGAGAAGAATTGCAATAGAAAAATTATGTTTAAATTACTTAAGTGGACTTGATTAATCTTCAGTTTTCATTTTTAAATCGATGCACGCAAGAAAAAAAAAAACAACACTACGCACTGTTCCCAAGCGGTCACCCATCCAAGTACTAAATGCGCCCAACGCCGCTTAACTTCGGTGATCGGACGAGAACCGGTGTTTTCCAGCGTGGTATGAGCGTTGTTACAAAATTTTATTCATATGCAGTCTCATAAAGAACAACACTTACAAAAATATATTCGATAAAAAGAAAAAATCTAGATTCACTTTAATCCTTATTCTCAAGTCAACTCAAAGAATGGATCTATTCCGGTTTCAAGTACAATCCATAAGAAACAAGTTTCTTTTCATTTATAGTTTATCAACGTTACAGTGTAGGAATACGAGTGTATGTTCTTTATAATATTAACATAATATTCATGATGTAAAAATGGAAAGCACCGATTTACTATCTATTGTATTCGCAGGACAACGTTGTCTCCAGTTTCTTAGGAGCGAACGCTCGTCGCCGGGAAGCTAGACGAGAGAAAAATAAAAGGAGGCTCGTCGATATGACGATTAATCTGGCCGGAAAGCGAAATCATCCTTTCCGAGCGCTTTCTTCGATGCAGACGAGCCGAGAAACTTATGAACGTTCCCGGGGGATTATGGCGAGAACAATGAAGCCCGGCTCTCCTGTCTCCTCGTTTCCACGGAGTGACACCTTGTTCGCCGGGACTAATTACTTTCGGCTTAAAATCCTTAATTTGTTGGTGAAAGGCTGGCGACGGGACCCGTCCCTGGCCCGATAGAGTCTTTCTTTGCGCGTCTTCTCGTCGCTTCCACAGTCTGCGTACCGTGAACGACGTTTTTAAAAAAAAAAAAAGGGGAGATTACTTTAAAAACGTTTCAAGGTCGTGCGAGCAGCTCCGTACCAAGGACGTCAGCGAAAGGTCGTTAAATTTCTCCAGCTGGAAAGTAAACTTAAAATACTACCAGCTACCCTCGTTTTCCTCCAAGTAAATGCAAACTATCGTTAGGACCACTTCTTCTGTTGGAGCTATGATATAATAATTCAAAGATCGTTTTCCTCGATACGCCTTCCATATGTAACTCTTCTCGTCGACGTGAGGATTTTGAGAAAATCTATTTCGACACGAGCTAATCACGATAAAAATGTGCTAGCTTTCGTATCGGGTTGCAAAATTAGTTCCCTCGACCCTCTGCCGGTTGGCAACTTCTGGCACGTTGCGAAGAAGGAGCCGACACCGATATTGAATCGCGTCTGCACCCTTTCTCGTCTCATAACCCCGTCCAGAGGGCGGTTTTGGGGAGGTGGGCGCTACGTAGAGAGGCTTGCGAGGCAACAGATGTACCTGATACATATTCATATTCGGGACTTCCGCGACTTCGTGTTACCGTTACTGTTATTATTGTCAGGCCAGAGCCAGTACGCCGTAATAGGCACGAAGAAGAGTGTACGATCAGTGGAAACGCGGACGTTCTCTCTGACCGCGGTTCGTTTTACGCCCTGCGCCGATTACTGTTATTACTATTGCCGCCATGACGCTTCGAACCCTTTCTTTTTACGATATCGAGGGCTAACAAGGAAAGCATTCGTCCCCCCTTCCAATTTGAATCTACTCTTGCAGAATGGTACATTACCGTTCCCTGTTGCCGCGCGTAAAATATTAGGTGCAATGACTATAATTTCAAGGGATTAGAGCTAATGACTTAAAGGGAAAACCATAGTCTCGGTTTTGTCGACGGGATAACCCTTCCACGAGCAGAGCTTTACCGTTTAGCGAAAAAGCCATGACAAAGGGTGGTCGGGAAAGAAGGAGTTGCGGCGTAGAATCAGACTTTTCTAGGGGGGGGATGAATTTTCCAGGCGGTGTTGGTTGATACGAGAGCCGCTGAAAGTTTCAAACTTCTCCATAACGCGGCCGAATTAATGGCAATTAATGGCATCCGTGTTTGCCGGCCGGCTGTACACAAGGGCCTGTTTGCGCAGCCAGTTTGTCACCGGGGCGCGTGCAAATTTCCACTCTCGTTTTCGACCGAAGACTTCGATCGAGGGTCTTTCGCGCGCGCCGTGTAAACAGACCCTAATGAATTGGTTGTGATTCGAAAGCAGGGGAAAAAATCCAATTAAGCGACCGCCAGGAATTTACTCGCTTTCATGGAGTAGCTGGCTCGACTGACGAGTACGTTGCTATATTAACGCCAGATTCACTTTTATTTACGATCAAATAGACGCAAAACTTGCTACGTGAGCATTTGGTGCATCTCTGTATAGTCATGATTGAATAATAGGCAGCTAATCCCAGTGTGTAATTACGACAATTAAGTTTGTATTATGAAACAATAGGAAGTAAATAGTGACAAAGCTTGGAAACGTGTAGCCTGTACCATCTTTTGCTTGGAATAAATTCGCCCCCGAAAAATGATTACTAATGCGTCGATTACTGGTAGGTTTACTCTGGATCTCGTAAGAGTCTGTCTCGGGAGGATCCTTTAATCTCCGCGATTCATTGTCTCGCTTATGGCAGGCGTGAATTAGCGTTCCCTCGTTGCCCGATCGGTGGCTGTAGTTGAATTATTGCCAGGCGTATCGGGCGTGCGGTGTCTCCGGCATAAAGCCAGCCCCGAAATGTTTCGCTGATAATGCGATTCCACAGGGCGAAATTACTCGGCGTGACGATGAAATCGGGGAGGGCCCGTTGGTTTCCGGCTGGGAACCGACGTCATACGAACCGGAATGGACGGGAAAAAGGCAGCCCGAAGACCGCGAAACGAGCACAGACGACAGGGAGAGATTCTCGCGTTATCTCGAGCGTGTCACGCGGAACCGTCGGGCGAAAAACTCGCAGAAAAGAGAACAGCATCTTCGCGACGGCCATGAATTATGCATAGGACCGGGTGGTAAAACTTTACGACGTATATTATATACGGCCGTGACGGGCTCGCGGAAATCCGTAAGATTCCATTAGAATTCTGCTTTTAATTAGGCGTCGTTTTATCGACCCCCTTGGCTTTCTTTCGTTGCGCCGTCTTTATCTGCTTTTCTCTGCCACGGAGGGGAACGCTTTTACGACCCGGGGAAAGAGAATGGGACTCGATGATCGATGTCGCGGGGCACCGATGGCTCCAGTTTCATCGTCAACATCGAATCCTGCGGACGAATTTTTCTATGGGCGAGATATCTCGCGAGACGGCTTGTTTCTTCAAGTATTTAACACATTGAGTGCCCGATGAAACTCAATCCGTGTCTCGTTACTCCGAGACGACAAGCTTGGGCATTCTGGCCGTCGATAGCGTAGTATAGCCATCGTAAAGTAGCATGTACTTTTGAATTTTCTTACAGGCCTCTGTTGACCATTGATGATCACTCTGGTGATTGCCTCTCGTGGTTTCTATATGCCTCTACTGGTCTCTACTTGTCTCTGCTGGCCTCCATTGGCCTCCGTTGACTGCTGCTGACCACTCATGATACTTTTGACAATGTATAACGATTACTGTTTCCTCTGCTGACCACTTCTGATATTACGGCAATAAATGATACAATTTCAAAGAATTTAAAGTGTTCTCATCATTTTTACCTTTCTTTTCCTCTCCAAATCATTCCCTTAGTTATAAGATACCTCTTGTCTCTCTCGCAAGCGCTCGATCGAGCCTCCGTTTTTACATATATAGACTCCTATGAAGCTAGTATTTCGATTAACTTAAAGAGAATACAAGAGTTAATAAATTTGCAGTCAACATACTGAAGAACTCTCAACGCAGTTACGCCAAGCTCCAGCAACAAAATTGGACAAGAACTTGTAAGGATAATACCTTCGAAGATACCGTAAAAGGTTCTATTGTAAAATAAATTGTTCCACCCGCGAGTGTACTTTATTCTTTCCACGGTATCTTGGCTTCTCCCGTGTCAGCTCGTTAGCGACACCTTCCCGCAATGTGAAATCGTTGGTAAGTGGCGCCGCGACGCCCGCGCCGTAATTCCGTAAGCCGTCGGGGTCGCGAGGCAGGTGTCGAGGACACCGGGAGTGACTAAACCGGAAAAAGAGAACGCGGGAAAAGCATTGGGTGAGTGCGTGTACCGTGAAACGAGCGAACTTTTGGGAAAAGTTCTCCGTTGGCTGGAAATTGAACGAGTAACCTTCCCGCGAATTCGAGCAGTCGTTCGACCGTTCTCCGTCCTCGTGTTTTATGGAACGTAAACAACGCGGAGACGGACCGACGCTTCCGTTTCGAGCGACGGAATAAGGCGCGCGGGCGTCTCTTCCGGGCTCGAGTTTGTATTTATTGCCGGGAACGTTCCGCGCGACTCGGTCTCCTATTTTTCCGTCGGACACCAGGCTCTCGAGGAAGGGAGATCCTCGATAAGAAACCGTTTACACCGTCACGAGGCAACGCCTCGTTGCTAGGAGTTGTTTGCTGGAGACGATGACCGCACCCTTTCACAGCCCCAACAAATTGCGATTTCGAAATCGCTGCTTCTACCCAGAGGTGTCAAAAGGCAGCTTATAAAATTGTTTAAATCCTTCCTCGTTATTACTCCTCATTAACTTAACTCTTATCTAGGTTCTCTAAACGCTATTTGCGAGACTGCATACAGTTATTATAATCGAAGTGTACAATCGAGCGAAAGAGACCTCCCGCCTTGTCAGATTCATCTCTCTACGCAAACACCGTACATCGTTCGTCCTCCCTCGCGTTTAACGCTCCCGAAACTCCCGGAATGCGTCGAAGACTTCCGTCGTCCGGGGAACTGCAAAGTTCCCATCCGTCCATCCGTTGTCTCCGGGCTTGTTTCTCCTCGCAGCTTTAACGGTCCTCGGATGACGAGGAGCCGTCGTGACACGCGATAAGAGGACACCTCGTAGGCAAAGTGTTCGCCCCGAAAGAGCGCCAAGACTTCACGGGGGAGAGGGTAAGAGGCACGAGGGTCGCGGGGGATTCGCGAGACGAAGAGAACGGGAGGAGGTCGCGGGAGAAAAAGACGAGATTCGACGTCAGCAGATCGAAGAGGTTCCTCCACTTTCTCCCGGCTGGGCGAGAGTATTGGAAAGCCGGTGGAAAGGATGGGCGGCCTCGACTTGCATACAACCTTCGAATAATATCGGCCGAATATTGGTGGAACGACGAGGACTGGCGCGCTCGTAAACCCGCGCGGATATGAATGCGGATAGCTCAATTTTCCGCGGCTGCCGGCGCTAACGTCCAAGACGTGACGGCTTTTCCGGCCTACGGCCTCCTTCCTTGTTTCGTCCCCGGTTCGGGGTGAGACCGACTCGCGGAAACGGGGTGAAAATTATTGCGGCCGTTCGAACGTAATCCGTCTGATCCCGTTGAAAATTACAACGCCCGCCCCCCGTGAAACGGCCGTCGGATTTTGATACGCGTTTATTGCCTGGTTGGCTCCGACCGAGACGAGATACAAGCCTGATTTATGCGAACGTTGTATAACGCGAGCATCGTTCGCCGTCGCATGATCGATGTTGCTTTTCAAGGCTACGGGTGTGGCTTTCGACCTCGAACGAAAGACGGATCAATTTTTACTCGGGTTAAAAACCCGTTGCTGACGATCGAATACTCGTACAATTTTAACTCGAAATTTATGATAACGCTGGTTCATTTTCAATAATAATTCGTGTCTTATGGAAAGAAGCGAGGTAAAACGCAATCCTAGTAGGCACATTCAATGGTCGATCGAGGATTAGGAGATCGAGTATTTGCGAGAAAGGTGTTGAGCGTGTCCCTCTGCTGGCGAGTACGGGAACTGTCGCCACAAGATTCTTCTTTCAGGCACTAAAAAAAAAAGGAAAATTGTTTTACAGACATATTTATGAGGGTTTAAATTAGCATTAAGATTAATACAGTTCTATTCCATTGAAATTTAAAGACGTTCGACAGAAAAATTCAACTTCAGAAGAAGACGAATTTTTCAGGGTCCCCGGGTCGTCGTGAGAGTTTCGCCAACTGTCTTCGCGAGGAGGAAGGATGTCGGATTCCGAGGGTAGCGCGGAGAGCGGCCAGGGCTCGGAAAAGTCGGAAACGCGGGAGGAAATCGTGGTGCCGGTGCCGAATCGGCAGAATCCGACCGGCGACAAGCTCGAGGAATTCGAGAAGCTGCTCCAATCGATGATGGCGTCCCGTCCGCCCTCGCAGGACGACGAGGAGGCCGAGGAGGACGACACCGACAGGAAAATAGGTGCGTTTTTCGAGTCGAGCACTATACCGAGAGGAATCACCCGATGGAAGATTGTACGATTGTTACAAGAAAATATATCCGATATTTCGAAACACAAAATAGTTTCAGTGGAAGCTATTTATCCAATGCACTCTAAATATCCTTTGAAAATTAACTTTTACCTAGCGTCTGTTAATTTTAATATAAACACGTTTATTAGGTATACAGTTGCTTCCACTGTTATTCGTACACTATAAACGAAAGGAAACTTGTTTTGCATACATTGAGATATATAATGAATATAGCACGCGAGTACAAGTGGGAGTGAAACTTTGTTCGCGAGCAGATACTGCATCGTGTTGCGAGGAAGATTTCCGTGACGCGTTAAGACGACGCTGACTGTTGACACGAGCCAGGCGAGATAGGCGAAAAGAGAAAAGAGCCCCGTCTAGCGCGAATCTTGCTTCACCCCCTTCGCCTAGCGTCGACGAGAGATCGTTCCGGGAGGGTTGCGCGAAAGGGGCGGAAGCCTCGGGATGCAGTTTCGCAGTAGAAACTCAGGTAACCTGTTGAGAGGGCATGGAGTGGGCGAAAATGGAGAGCTTGCTGCAGCTTAACTTGGAGAAATTTCCCAGACGCTCGCCAAGGGCATTTCTAGGGAAAGTGGTTGGAGCCTGAAGGGCGGTGGCGGCGATGGGCGAATGGGAACGAGAGAAATTTCTCTCTGGCCCCGGGGATTAAGTTCCGCCGCCCGAAACGTCTCGGCCCCGTCTTTTTCACCGTTCCATTCTTATTCCGTCCATCTTTACGAGTAGCACGCCGGGAACCAGATGGTAACGCGAACTTTAATGATCTTTTTCGTGGCTCGGTAGACCCGGCCCCCGGAAATTAGCGAGCGAGAGAACTTGCTAGCCGGGAGCCCTTTGCTTTTGTATTCGTTCGTCTTCGTCGTCGTCATCGTCGCGAAGAACCCGTCGACGTTGAACGGGGGGGGGGCGAAGAGAAAAAAAAAAAAATAATATTTTTCGAACACCGCCTCCGAGCTCGTTTGCATTCGTCGGCTTCGCGCGTCTCGTTCTTCCTTTGTTCCCTGTCCTCGTTTTCACGGATGCACGAGGAACGCTTTCCATGAATTTTTCAAGGCGAAATTCCGAGTTTCAGAGAAATATGAGTACGTACGGCGGTTTTTACGCGAACGATAATTACGCTGGAAAAAGTTGAAGCGAGCTTAGGAGACTGTGAATTATTTAAATCGTATGCTGAATAGTTTTTTATACAGCATGATTGATCTTTGATCATTGCGAGGTCGAGAATTTAATACGAAAGATCTCGAAGAAGTTTTTGGTAATGTTCGATCGATGGGTAGCTCGGGGATTTACATTCGGTTCCATTTGTTTCTCTTTCTTGTTAATCGAGGCGAGGAGAGCGCCGTCCCTCGAGACGGCTCGAGGCCCTCGGACGAAGATTAACTTCATCGAGGGGATAAAAATTATTCCACGGAAGGCCAGCGGCGGTCTGACCGGTTGGGTGTCTCCCACGCACGTGGAATTAACGATCGCCACGGAAATCGAAGCGTCGACGTGGCTCGCGACCGTGAGCTCCGCTGCGTCAGTAGAATAGGACAGGTTTGGTCAGACTACGGTTGAACATTTTTCCTACGCAGAGAAATCGAGTTGACCCTTCAGTGGACTCTCAATCTCAACTGAATTGTTGATTTTTACCAAATAGATAAATTGAAAATCAATTTTCCTTTAAAGCATTCGAAAAATTTTCAAATAATTCACTTAAGGGTTAAACAGCCTCATAAAATCGAATGAAAAATTTATGTCGAGACCCAATACATATACTCTTAATTTCAAAACACGAAGCTTTATTTATTCAAGACAATTAGAATTAGAAGCTAAGGGCAATATAATATAGAAAACTAGTAAAAAATAACTGCTGAAACCAGACGTTACGATGTTATTAGTGATTCAGAGGGGAACCTTGTCGTCCCTGGAACATGTAAAGCACAGAAAGATCTCGATCGTGAATCACGCATGAGGGAAAGTCGTGTGAAAGATGGTCGCGATGAATCAGCCCGACGGATTCGTGCTGCAGTCATGCGAACGGCGGTGGTGCCTTAAACGCGGCTTTATCGTTTCTCCGTTAAAAGGGCCACGGTTCGGAATATCCAGCGCGGTGTCGTGCAAGGGTAATAACTGCTTTAATTACGGATGCACCGTGGAGATTTAGAGCCGCGTGTAACGACACCGCCGTTTTCGGAGGGAACCGCAGCTGTTGCCAAATTCGCGTCGTCGCGGCGACGTTCCCGAACCCGATACCAGCCCAGCCCTAAATTTCCCGGCGAATTTCCCACTGGAACCGAAACCGTGGGCGTCCCGTCCAGCGTTCCAAATTAAACTCATAAACCGTCGGAGACCCGGGGCCCATCCAGCGAGCGATCGAGGACAGCTTTGCAGAGGCCGAAACACGCGCGAAACGTCTCGCGTGGAGCTCGAAATTATGCGACGCGACGCGACCGTAAATTTTGGAAAACTCACGAGCTCCGGGCTTTCTGTTTTCCAACCGTTTGGTTATCGCATCCCGGTGAAACTTTGGCTCGAGGTGCAAAGAATATTCACGAATTTGTTATGGCAGAGGCGAGAATGAGAGAATACCAGGCCTCGTTTTTTGGAGAAAATTTACGTTGAAAACGCTTGGAAATGCATGCATAAGTAGAAAAAGAGATAAATGGCCAGACACGATAGAAATTTTCGAATTGAATTATCTAGGAAACGAGGGCTCCCAGAAAAAATTCGATCAAGGATAGAGAAGGTAGAGACTTCGCTTTTTAAGATGAGCACACTGACACCCTCTATATGATTCTTTTTTTTTAAAGTTACAGCAGTTCGAAGATCGACAATTTGTCTAATCCAAATTATAAAGTTGAATAAAGTTGATTTTTCTGAAATTAATAATGGGTTTGATAGATAGACGAAACGTCGAGGCTAGAGTTTCATTAGACCTTAGGCGGGGGCACCGGTTTAACGTCTTGCATTCCACCGAGTTTCGGACGGGGAATGGCGTAGGTGTCAGGCTCGTGGCCATGATTAAAATAATAAATTGTACGGACGGGTTTCGGTCGAAATTAGCATCGCATCGGGCGCGATTTCGCAAACCGTGGCCGTTTCTTGTACCGCAAAGGACGGGTATTCTGAATTATATATGCCTCGGAGGGCGTTGGCTTCCGGCGCTCGTAAGGAAACTCGCGAAACGAGGATGAGATTTCGCTGGAGCGGCGCTCGCCCGGTACGTCCCTGGCGACGGGCCAATTCGATCTCGCGGCCGACTCGTTTTCGGAATTGTGCCGTTAGATTTACGAAAATCGTCGCGGAAGAGGATCCGGGATCTGGAAGGAGCATTTCGCGAGACGGCGCCCCCGATCGGGAATCGTTTCCGTACAGTTTACTGCCTTTCATTTTCTACGGGAAACTGCTTCGTGGACGAAACACACTGACGAGGAACGTCCACGAAGCACCCTGTCAAATTTTCATAAAAATTTGTCGACCGTCGACCATCGCGATTCATTCGACTCAAAGGGGTATTCTAATTTATTATTAATACCTACAATTTAAATTTTATTCATATATTTTCTAAATTCAGTTTGTGTTACCATAAATGTAACTTGAATCAAGCTATGGTACGTATTATGTTTGGAAAGTACGAAAGGCTAGAACATGCCTTAGAAAATTGAAGAACTTTGTAGAATACTCGAAGTTTATATCTACTCGAATAATCAAAATGGCCGCGCGCCCGCTGTACGGGGATTAAAAAGATAAAATTCGAGACTCGACGTGCTTTTAAAGGCAAGCTTCACGATACCGCTAACGACCTATCGCGAAAACGACGCGACGGACAATCAACAAGCGTGATCTTAATCGATTCATGGGAGCAGCCACCCCCGAGTTGTCCTCGGGGCCACGCTCCGTCCATCAATCACTTTTCCTTGGAGTTTCCGTTCCCCGGATTGAAATCGTCGAGTGAAAAAAGCATTCCTCGAGCATCGAGACCGGCCTAAACAATTTGCACGGGCGTCGGTAATGATTTCGGACATTATCTACCCTCCGGGTGAAATTTGTCCCGGGCCCTCTATTCGTCATCCGGCCACGCGCTTTATGCGTACGATCGCGACCCACCGTGCAAAACGGATCATCCGGCGACTCGTCCGGAAGCTCGTAGTCTTCGTTCCCAAGATGCTTCGACTACCCTGTTTTCTTTATTCCTCGCCGCTGAAAATTGATGACCGACAACCCCGCGGGCCCCGTTTCGCTTCCGGGCTTCCTGGCCCACACACCAAAGTGATTTCTTATTTAGGGAGCTCTCGAACTCGTCATTTTTCATGCGAGCATCGTTTCCCGCTGGAGGAACAGTGTCACAATCCCTTGCTTGAGGGAGATGGGGTGGGCGTTATATCATAAAGCGAAAATTGCAACGCGAACACCTTGAAAACATCGTGACACAATTTTTAAACCCTCCGTACCCATATTCTGCGATTTACAATTCAACGTTACCGTAAAAATGCGACGTTTCGAACAATCTTGAAAAAAATTGCTCGTTCGTCATTCTTATCCCTGCCATTTTGGGTACGAACAGAGCCTGGTCGCTGTGCATCGAGATAAAGGTCCCACCCCCGAAAGATAACCATCCCTTTGAAAGTTCTCGAACCTCCCGGAGCTTCCCAAACGAGGCGATCGAGATTTCGAGACGAATAAAGTGAAACAGGGGGGAATTATTACGTTCTCGCGTAATCCGGAAACGCTCGACGCGACAGGAGGCCATTTTGGAGAACGGGGACGAATAAAAAGTTGAACGGTCTCCGCGAACTCGACACCCTAATCGAGCCAGACGAGGGTGGGCGATCGCGGGAGGAAAAAAAAGGCCGGCATCTGGCGAATCCTTTTCGACGAAAACTTTTCCACAACGGCGGGATCTTGTCGCGAACTGGGGTGGCAAGATGTCACTCTCCGCGAACGTGTAAGAGCATACGCGACCGGCGAACGGTATTATGATAATCCGAGAGTCGTATATTGACACTCCGTTACGAAAACGACGGGGGACGGTTGTTAATAAGACGCAACCTTTGAGAATGGCACCCCCGGAGAACTGAAGGAAAGATATTTTTACGAACCATCAGTCAGTAATGGAAACACGATCTCGTTGAAATTAATTTCAATCGTTATTTCTTTCATTATACAGTCCATATGGCATTAGGGGTAGTTTGAGTCATCATTTTGCTGGTTTCAAATTTATTTAAATAATACAAAACTTTGTAGTTTGTGAAATTGGTGAACATCGGTTGTACTTGGGAATTTTTATCTCAGAAACTATTTATCACATTCAGATGTTTCTTTTTCAGTTCAACCTTTAAGTGGACTCTCGATTTCAACTGAATAATTTTACTTGACGTTGATTTCTATCAAATTGGTAAATGGAGATCAACTTTCCTTTAATGTATTTAAAAAACAATGATCTAACGGAGGATTATATAACAATTATTATTTTAAACTTGCAAAGGGACGCAGCTGTTAATTTATAAGGGTTAGAGGCCTTTTTTTTTAAACGAATTTGAAACAAGCAAAATGATGACACAAATTACTACTAATATCGTATGGACTATACCCTGTCCAATTTTGAACAAAATCTCGGACATCTAGGGACGAAAATGTTCGATTTGGATGATCCACATACGAGACGAACGAATGTCCAAGCATCCCCAAGTTGCACAGCGTTCCAAGTACCGATTGTTCCGGGCGTGTGAGCTCGTGCCATCGCGGGAGACAACGGATCGAGAAAATTCCACGCTCCTTGGGTCTCTGTTGTCCTCTAGCAGGGATCCCCATGCGCCGTAGATCCAATTTGCGCGACGAGTACCCGGCATGAACGAAATTCGCGGAGCGCTGGAGGGGCTAGTGGATGTAATTTGACGCGGCGGCACGAGGGTGCTCGTGTTCCTTTTTTTTCCTTTTTCCCTAATTCGACGAAGGGCGAGCAGCCGCGAAATGAAAAGCGCGGCCACCTACCCCACCCCCTTTGTGCGTGGCGTGCACGCGCCACGTTTCTAAAGGTACCCGTCATCCATTTGCGCGTACGCCGCTTGAAAGCAACGTGTGCTCGAGCAGCGGAAAATCTCGAGCCTTTCGGGAAACGCCAGACGGCTAATCTGTCGGTAGGAATTAGTTCTGATGTTTGATCGGCGCTCTTCAGGCGTCTGAAGTTGGCCCGCGAGGGTAGACGATACGTCTGCGCTGGTCGGCAGATGGTCGATGCAATCTGCCCTCCCCCACTCTTTTCTAACATTTTCACGTGGGACTTCCAACCACCATGATCGCTTTCTTTACCGTTTCGTCACTGAGGATTTTTCTGCGACAGATACGAGAGAAGGGAACGTTCAACGAGGGACGAGGGCGGATTCCTCCCCGAAATCGACCATTTTTATTGTAATTACAGATTGTTCGAACCGTGGAGCAGACTGTCCAGGTCACGGAGTATTCGATTTCTAATCGCTAGTTTCGAACAATAGCTTCGACGATCGAAAAAGCGTCGCGGACCATTTTGTCGTGTTACCTGGCTGAAATCCAAAGGCAAACAGCTGCTGCATTGGGCCTTTCCCATTTTTGCGTCAGCGCAATTTCCACTTTTTCACGGCCGATCGATCGAACCGATCGGGGTTAACTCGTCCCTGGCAAGCGATCAAACGACAAGGGACGACGATTTTTCAACCATCGCGGCGACGCATTGTACGCGCCGCTGAACAACCAACAATGTCGTCTGCGACGCGCTTCGTCGACTGAAAGCCTGAGCTGTAACCCGTATTGAAAGTGACAAACTAATCCTCTACCACTATTACGTTCCTACATAATTGCGCTACGTTCTACGAATCGCAATTCAACCCTTGGAAGGCGGATAGTTTGGGATCGTCGAACGCAAGGCCATTTTTACCCGTTGAAAACCATTTCCATTTTACGCTGGCTTCAAAGAGGAAGACAAAATACACTTAAAATTTGGTCAAACATTCAAGCTATTACTCTTGATTGGTCTCGATTTGAATTTTTAAATACGAGCTTGCATCCAAGACTAAAATTGTCTCTGCTTAAAAGGAAGTCTTCTTGTTAGACTCACCCTAAAAGGTACCCGGAAACCATCGCGCTTTGGTCACTGATTTTCACTGTTCTCTGGCCAGCGTCGAAGGGCTCGATCGAAAGGAGATTCGTGCGTTCGTATTCAGACAATGGTGGACTTCCGCGGATGCGAAACGCGGACTAATAACCGGGCTGCGGAAAAGTAAAACGGTACCTGCCAGTACGCGGAAGGCAGGATCGCGTGCAGTGTCAGTTGTTCGTCGGGATATTCCGTGCGTCCCGTGACAATAGGGAGCCAACGAGCAGGCTCACCTCAAAGACACGATCGGCCAATGCCAGAACGTCTCGGATCAGTCGGTGCCTGGTCTCTTGACCTGCTTGCACCACGACCACCAAACGAGCCGCATTTTTATCATTTAACCACCCCCTCGCGCGGTCACCCCTCATCCTCCAGTTCTTTCGAGTATTTTCTACAGCAAACTATGCGAGTCCTGTTTCGTGGCGCGTCGCATGCACGCTCGTACTCGGGGAGAGAAATGCCTGTTAGAAATAAGGAGCAAATCCAAGTCGAGGGTAGGAACTCGTCCTAAAACAGTTTTATGGTAAGTCCCGTTTCTTTACAGTCACTTCCGGATCACTCAACGCGCTTAGTTCGAGTCACGTAGTAGTCCCTCGTTTCAAGACTGAATTTTTTCCCCGGTAGCACGGCGCAAAACCATCCCTCTGTAATTTTTATAATGTTTCGCTATAGTATTCGACGTTAGGTCGGGAAAACGATACTTTGGAGTTGATTCGAGACTGGTTTCGCGTCTTTGGGCACAGAAATGGCTGCCTCGGATGGACCGACGGATTTTCGGCTGGAGTACATCGGAGGGTTCGTGCAAAAGTCGTTGAAACTGAAGCCGGAGAAATGGGGCAGGCTGCTGCTCACCGAGGAATACCGTAACGCCGTGCTGGATTTCCTCGACAATCCGTTCCCCGCGGCGCTTTTCGTCGTCCTGACGCCGAACGCGCAATTAGTCGCGTCCACGTCGTTTCCCATACCTTGCCAGAGGACCAAAGGTGAGTGGAGTCCAAGAAAATTCACAAAATTCAAAATTGCATCTGAAAATACAACGTTTGCACACGCAAGACAATATTACGCTTAAAAATAAGACGATCTTTCATATATTTAAAGCGCCTCGCTGTGGGCGTTAGCGACTCGTCAACAAACTTTGACATTGTTATTTTTGCGCGACCACTCCCGACCGCTGGCCAGCGAGAGATAAAATTCAAGCGCTTGTTTTGTACACGTCGGTTAGAAGCAGTCGCGACAGAACCTGTGAGCTCGTCAGGCTTTTCACGACGAAGACCGCGAAGAAAGGAGCAATAAAGATACAGTTTTCCACGTTGACCAGGACGATTCATTGCCCGAACTATCTCTAATCCAGTGCATCTAAATGTTAGGATAGCAGTTATCGAGACATCTGCTCTAGGCATTTACGCTGTGAAAGTGAAGCAGACACCGCTGGCGAAGGAGAAGGAGGCCTGTACGGCGATGCTGATCCTAGGCGATCTATCCTCACGCGTGGTGGATCAATTGGCCACTCTGGTGGATAACGTGTTTGCTCCTCTCCTCAGCAAAGCGGAGAACCACAAGGATCTGCCCGATGTCGCGGTCCAGGACCTCTGCAAGCACGTTCACTCTCTGCGCGGTATCCTGTACCAAGTAATAGTTATTCTGTTAGAATATGTATGAATAAGTTCTTTGAATATCTTTCAATTTCAAACCAAAGTACGTAGAGTGTTCATTATTGTGTTTTATTTTAACTATACAATTCGAGTTCCCTGATTTTAATATCAAACTATATTATAAATCGACAACGAATTCGATAGAAGAAGATAATATCAAGTGAAGCTGAGCTTATTTCCTCGATAAAGATTGTTAGTGGTTGAAACACAGGTGAAAGGTCAGGTGAACGGGAGAACGGTTCTCCCGATGCCAGCGGGTATGGAGAAGGTGACGGAAATGGAGAAGCTGGTCCGAGCGGAAGGACCGCAAGCCGCCGATCTGTATTTGAAAAGCGCCATCGAGGGTGTGGTGATCAAGTGGGCGTACTTGGTGAACGACGTTGTCACTCAGGAATCGAGCGCAGCTTTCGACAACGGCCAGAATCCCACGCCCGACGTCGAGCTGGACTACTGGTCCGCCAGATTAGCGAATTTAAGGTAAAAGAAAGCTCAAACTCTCTCGAAGTCCACTCGAAACATTCCTCAGCCATACCAGTTAATAAACATTCATACGACATATCCATTCCTATGCTTTTTCGACAGATACATTTACGATCAGCTGCAAGAGGACCGCGTGAAGAAAATGGCGAGCATCCTGGAGAGGACGGACAGCGCGTATTTCCCCTGTTTCCGCACTCTATTCGACAACGTGGTGTCCTCGATGTCGGAGGCGAAGGAGATATCGCTGTATCTATCGCCTCTGGCGAGATGCTTCAAGGCGGTCGAGGAGCTCGACTTCTCCGAGGCTAAGCCGTTAATGGCCACGCTGATACACTCGGTGGGATTAGCCTGGTCGAAATCCACCTACTATCAGAGCTCTTCCAAGGTGATCATCGTGCTTCGACAGATTTGCAACCTGTTGATACAGGAAGCTTGCCGGTTCCTCGACCCGACCTCCATCTTTCAAAGCGACGTGGACGAGGCACTGCAGCGCGTTCAAATATCCAGAGGTTTTCTCCTTAAATATACACTTATGCAAGGAATACATTTACCCCTTTCGTAGGATGAATTTTACGTATCATACAATCTCAGAACAAATAAGAAAAATAGCTGACAATAACATGTGCAAGGGAAACGTCTTATCCTTTGGAATACTTTTAATCTGAATCTTAAAGAAGCAATGTAAGCTCGAAGCATCGATCACTAATGATCACCACGGCAGTCAAATGATACTTCGATCGTTCTGTAGGAGTTCTAGAGGAGTTCAAGCATCAGTTCGAACTGAGAAAAGACACGCCAGCGATGAAGCCCCACGCTCCGCCGTGGACCTTCAATCCCAGTGCTGTTTTCGCCCGTTTAGACGCGTTTCTGAGACGACTGAGCGACGTCGAGTGGCTGTTCAACACCGTCATGGAGTTCTCCAAGCTGGAGAAGATCGAGATCGGCGGTATACTCGGCCGATCGCTCAGCAGTAGAATCATTAACGTCTACAAAGAGTTTCAGCAACTATTCTTGTCGTTCACGGTGCGTGCCAACGACGCCCTCGAGCCCGACGACGAGTCGTTCGCCGTCGACTGCGCGAAATTCAATGAGTCCATCACCGACCTTGACAGCAAACTCGCCGCCATTCTCTGTCAGGCTTTCGACGACTGTGGGAACCTCGAAAGCGTCTTCAAGGTAGATGTACACGGTTTGCTCTTCGAATCAAATTCTATTCGCGTATAATAATAACACGTTATTGAATTGTTTGATTTCAAAGCATTTGAATTCGATGTTCCCAGTTGATAAACATAGCGGGATCGGTGCTGGACCGACCAGTGATAAGCAAACAATTCACTGACCGTTACTCCAGGATCCTGGAGCTGCTGAACATCGAGCTGACGGTCGTCGAAGTGTTGTTCAACCGCGGTACCAGAGGTGCTTTGATTAATCTTCCGCCTTTGGCCGCTGCCTTGACGTTTACCAGCATGCTACGACAACGCATCGATCTGCCCGTGCAATCTTTCAAAGCTATTCAACACCCGTGAGTGACTTCCACAGAGATTCAGACTCAGAGATGGACGTAAATGCCAGACATCTTGCGGTTTCAGCATAGCGAGCAGCGTAGAAGGACGGATAATAGAGAGTAGGTACGAGAGGCTGATCAAGATTTTCAGCGACAAGGAAAACGATCTTTTCGAGGAATGGGCCCGAACGGTACCGGAAACAGTCAACGTTGGTCTGAATCGCAATATTCTGTCTCGCGGAACCGATTCCACCTTACTGCTGAACTTCGACCCCGAACTGTTGGCTGTTTTGCAGGAAGTGAACTACTTGAAACAGATGTCGAGATCTGACATTCCGGACCAGGCTATTAAGGTGCTTCGCAAGTTTTTAGCAGTGTAAGAATTTCCAATGAGGCGCCATATTTACAGAACTAAAATAACTCCGATTGCTATGGCGTTCTATTTTTGTTGCTCCTTATTAATCTCGCGTTCTGTTTTTAATGAGTTTACCGTGAATAAATAATTAATAGTACGCGTTAAAGAATGACCGTTGCGTACGACGTCGATGCACCGCGAGCGTGATATTATTATTATTTCGCCAGGTGTCGGAGAAGGTGGAAACGTTTCGAAAGTTTCGCACCCTGCTGGGAGCGACGGTGGACTCGTACAACAACATTTGCAAGACTACCAGCCGGGTCGAGTTCCGGCTGATCGTGAAGGAGATAACGAGGATCGATTCCCTCGTCTCTCGCGGAGAGAAAGAATTATGCTGGAGGTCGGACGGCGTTCTGGAGTACATCGTGGAGCTGGGCGAGCTCGTCGAGGGGCTCTGGAGGCGAATAAAATCCGCCCAGACGAACGTCGAGAAGATCAAAGCTATTTTGGAGCCCTGGACCAGGACTCCTCTTATTGAAAGGAAGGATCGTCGTAAGGATGCTTTATTGTCCTTCGACGAGAGCCCGGAGAAGGTATCGAAACGTTACGGGGAGATCGAGAGAGCGGCCGAGCAGATTCATTCGTTGGTAGGGGAGAACCGGATGCTTTTTCAAGTTTCCGACGAGATGGACGAACCCTGGACGAGATACATAGCCCACGTTGATAGCATTGTTATGGAATCCCTTCGCAGAGCCGTAGGATGCTCGTTAGGTTACTATTTTTAACGCTCGTTCGTCGATCGGAGCACCAAATCTTGTTAAAATAATCGAGGAAGCTGAATAATGTACTTTTTAAACAAAATATTATTCAACCTTAACCTAATCTTAATCGATGACTCGAACGATATAATTAATTCTTTCATTCTATCGCGTCAGGATACTTGGTCGAGAACATGGATTCGGTTGGAATAAGCTTACCGCTGTTGGAAGCAAAATTGGAGCTCAGAGAGCCTGATCTCTACTACGTCCCTTCGTTGGAACCGGACGACCCGGATGGACTCGATCAGCTGATTCTTCTTCTCTTGAACGACATCATCGGAATGGCTGCGTTGGTGCCAAGATTGAAGCAGGATTCCACGGGATACGCCGAGGAGCTGGAAGAAGATCCGGATATTAAGGGGATGAAAAACGAGATTCTGAGCAACGTGACGACTGCCGTGGAAGACGCCACTGAGTTCTGCAGCAATTTCGAAGGTAAATCTTTCGATGGTGCTATTAATCGCCCGGAACACGCTTGACAATTTACGACCGTGCAATTACGCGTAGCTGGAAATGCATTTAGGCTACCCCTCGTGAAATTTCTATCATTCACCGTCGAGCACGGTCCTTTTATTCAGCTTCGTTCGGCATCCGCGTTTAGACTCCCCCATCATGGTCCGTGATCCACCGTTATCTTATTCTATCAGGATACGCCTATCTCTGGTTGGACGACAGAGGCATAGTGATGCAACAGTTCCTCGAGTATAGCCGGCAATTGACGATGGAGGAAATGGAGATGGTGGCCGTCCAGGATCCCAAGGGGCCGGCACGGTCACCGCCGAAAATGGAGCAATTCCGCGAGCAAATCGACCTTTACGAGGGCCTCTATCTCGAGATCGAGGAAATGGAACCGTCGAAAGTGTTTTGTGGCTGGTTCAGGGTAGACCTGAGACCCTTTAGACAGTCGGTGCTGAACATAGTCTGCAAATGGTCGAGCATGTTCAAGAGACATCTGGTCGATCGCGTTACCAGCAGCCTTTCGGATTTGGGATCGTTTATAAGGTGTTTGTTCCGACGGAATGGTCTCCGTCCCGCGATAAAAACGATCGGTTCTCTGCCAAGGAGGTCAAAATTACTTGTTTTCCTATCTGTAACGTCGACCATACATTTCCGGTACATCACGTGCTTCTACGTTCCCTACAACTTATCGACGTGCATAAACTTTACAAAGTATCTTTCTTTTTCTCTCGGTTACTCTAAATTCTACCTCTATATTTCATCCTCAAAATAAAAAACAGTAGAAGCTGCTAAAATAAATATTTGCTACAACTTCGAACGTGGAATAGCTCGCACTAGCTAGCGTTTGCACGGTTCTACGCGACTGTATCGATTTCGTCGACCCGACAGGCGAGCAGACGAAGGTTTACTACAACCGATTCATCCCGGCGACTACGCCGGCCTCGTCAGCGTGATGGGATACCTTCTGCAAGTGAAAGAGAGACAGCCGACCACGGACGAAATGTTTCAGCCGCTGGAGGAGACGATCGAGCTGTTGAAGTTTTACGACCAGGACATCCCGGAGGAGGTGAACGTGCTGCTCCAAGAATTGCCGGAACAATGGTCCAACACGAAGAAACTGGCTCTCATGGTGAAGCAGCAAGTTGCTCCCCTGCAGGCAGGTACGCGATAGATTTTGAAGTTTTTTCGAAAAATCTAATCGAGGGTTTCGACGACAGGAGAGGTGTCCAGGATAAGGGGACGAATTTCCGCGTTCGACACGACGATAACGCATTACCGGGAGGCCTTTCGACGGTACAGTTTCTTCAAGTACGAATGCGAGAACCCGTACGTGCTGCTGGACGAGGGTCACAAAGAGATCCTGATGCTGGAGACACAGATGAAGGACATACAAGAGTCCGCGTCCTTGTTCGAGGTGACGGTGCCGGAGTTCAAGGTTCTGAGACAGTGCAGGAGGGAGCTGAGGATGCTCAAGCAGCTCTGGGACTACGCCAATATCGTCAGGAGCAGCATAGAGGGCTGGAAGACGACCCCCTGGAGAAAAATCGACGTGGAGAACATGGATATCGAGTGCAAGAAGTTCGCCAAGGAGATTCGGGGTCGGTAACCGAGAAACGTTGATCGTTTGCATATGGAGAACGAGTAAATCTCATGTGTTCGTTGGAATAATTAGCGCTGGACAAAGAGATGAGGTCGTGGGACACCTACGTGTCGCTGGAGGCGACCGTGAAGAACATGCTGACGTCCCTGAGGGCCGTGGGAGAACTTCAGAATCCTGCCATCCGGGAGAGGCACTGGAGACAGCTGATGAACAGCACCAAGGTACCGACATGGTTCACGGAACGGCTCAGAAACGCGAACAGTGCGATTCAGGAATACAGATACATCTGAGTCTCTTTTTATTCTCTACAGAATCGTATATTTTTTCTATCGTTGGTACACGTACCATGTGTCGAGACAGTCGGATAAGAGCTAGGAAACTTTTAAGGGTTAATGTTTTTTCAAACGTGTATTCACGAGACTATTTAGATTTAGTTGCACCGCTGTATATACGCTGTCGGTGTTGCAGAAACTGGGCGACATGACTCCAGAAATGACCGTAAGTCCACTGTAAATACGCGCACGATAACTTTTTTTTACTAAAGTTCATTTATCCTCGACGCGTTCATTGTAAGAAAACACTGTTTCTTAAGGTCATTTTTTAAACGTTCTCATGCAATATTCGTTCCTGTAAAAAATGTTTACTCTACAGTGAACGCGTTAATATCAGAGTAGAATGCGCCCCATAAGCACAACCATTTTCCACGTCACCAAGTAATGTTTGACGATAACGTCTGCCGAGCATGCAGCACGCGCGTCGTCGACTAATTTTCCACCATATTTCACTCAAGAAACGTCAACGTCACGCGTTCATTACGTCGGTGTACATATTTCATTGAATAAATTGATTTCACGAACGAACGCGTCATTTAATTCATGCTTCGCCTCGCTTCACCCTCGCGTTCGTTTCTCTAAAAAAACGTCACCGAGCCTTGCGATTCGAGAACGCCGAAAACGATCGCGAGAACACGGTCAGCAGAGGTGTCCTGCGATTAGGTGCGATTCGTAATGGACGAGTCGACCACGCTGGCGGACCTGCTCGAGCTGAATCTACACGATTGCGAGGAGGAGGTGAAGAACATCGTGGACAAGGCTGTGAAGGAGATGTCGATGGAGAAATATATGAGGGAATTGAACGTCACCTGGTCGAAGATGGAATTCGAGAAGGAGATTCACGCGAGAACGGGAGCGACGTTGATCAGGGCCAGCGAGGAGCTGATCGAGACTCTGGAGGAGAATCAGGTGCACCATAAAACGAGAACAGATTCTGTCTTAGAAAGATTTCACGAGGATCGAGGAACGGGAGGGCTGAGAATGGCTTTTTTCCGGGCATTCGCAGGTACAATTACAGAATCTCATCACGTCCAAGTTTATAGCCCACTTCCTGGAGGAAGTGTCGAGCTGGCAGAGGAAGCTGAGCATCGCGGACCAAGTGACGACCGTCTGGTTCGAGGTGCAACGAACCTGGATGCACCTCGAGAGCATCTTTACATCCTCGGAGGACATTCGGAGGCAGCTGCCCGTGGACGCGGAAAGGTTCGATCGGATCGATAAGCAATTCAAGGAGATGACGGAAGAGATGGCGAAGACACCGAACGTGGTCGAGGCGACCAACAAGGACGGTCTCGTGTCCTCTCTCGACGTGTTGCAAAAGGAGCTGGTCCTCTGCGAGAAAGCTCTGGCCGAGTATCTGGAAACGAAACGCCTCGCGTTCCCCAGATTCTACTTCGTTTCGTCCAGCGACCTGTTGGACGTTCTTTCGAACGGAAACCAACCGGAAGTCGTGGCCAAACATCTGACCAAACTCTTCGATTCTATGGCGCGACTCAAGTTCGACGACACCGTCACCGACTCGCCCAAACGCGTACTGGGTAAATGTGTTGTAATTTAAATAATTCTATTCTGATTACGAAAAACTTGAGAAAGCGATTTTTTTGATTTGCAAGGCATGTTCGCGAAGGACGGCGAGTACGTGGAGTTCGCCAACTGCGAGATGAACTGCGAGGGCCCGGTGGAGGCGTGGCTGAACCGCTTGCAACGGGTGATGAGAGCCACCATAATGCACTATTTTAGCGAGGCTGTCATCTCCTACGAGGAGAAACCACGGGAGCAATGGCTGTTCGACTATCCGGCACAGGTGTCCCTGTGCAGCACGCAGATTTGGTGGACCACCGAGGTGAACATCGCGTTCGCCAGGCTGGAGGAGGGCTACGACAACTCGCTGAAAGACTACCTGAAGAAACAGATCTCGCAGCTGAGCATTCTCATCACGCTGCTGATCGGGGAGCTCACGAAACAAGAGAGACAGAAGGTGATGACGATCTGCACGATCGACGTGCACTCGAGAGACGTCGTGACGAAGCTGGTGCAGTCCAAGGTGGAGACGTCGCAGGCCTTCCAATGGCAGAGTCAACTACGCCATCGCTGGGACGAGAAGGAGAAGGATTGCTTCGCTAATATTTGCGACGCGCAGTTCAAATACTCGCACGAATACCTGGGAAACACGCCCAGGTCAGGGTCCATGCGTCGTTTGTCTTCTCTCTTTCCCCTTTCGACAAGCAAAACGAACAAATTGCACGAGCATGTTAGAAAATTATTCGAAATCGAGTATTTAGAGATCCGTAGGAGTATACGAAACGTAAAAATTAATTAATAGTGTAAATATTAAATCCTACGCGAACCAATACTGTTTTAACTTTCCCACCATGTTCGATCCAGGTTGGTGATAACGCCGCTGACGGACAGGTGTTACATAACCCTGACCCAATCCCTCCACCTGATCATGGGCGGTGGTCCAGCCGGTCCAGCTGGTACCGGGAAAACCGAGACAACCAAAGATCTTGGCAGAGCCCTAGGCATAATGGTTTACGTGTTCAACTGTTCCGAGCAAATGGACTACAAATCCTGCGGGAACATATACAAGGGTTTGGCCCAAACAGGAGCGTGGGGATGCTTCGACGAGTTCAATCGGATCACCGTCGAGGTGTTATCGGTGGTCGCCGTCCAGGTGAAGTCGATCCAGGACGCCATCAGAGACAAGAAAGAGAAGTTCAATTTTATGGGAGAGACCATCAGCTTGGAGCCCACTGTGGGCATATTTATCACGATGAACCCTGGCTACGCGGGCCGCACGGAGCTGCCGGAGAACCTGAAGGCTCTGTTCAGACCCTGCGCCATGGTCGTTCCGGACTTCGAGTTGATTTGCGAGATCATGTTGGTGGCGGAGGGCTTTCAAGACGCGAGGATCCTGGCTAGGAAGTTCATCACGCTGTACACTCTGTGCAAGGAGCTGCTGTCGAAGCAGGACCATTACGACTGGGGACTGAGAGCGATCAAATCCGTGTTGGTTGTTGCTGGGAGTTTGAAGAGAGGCGACCCGGGCAGACCGGAGGAGGAAGTGCTCATGAGAGCTCTCAGAGACTTCAATATTCCTAAGGTCGTGTCCGACGATCTACCAGTCTTCATGGGTCTGATAGCCGACCTGTTCCCCGCGCTGGACGTGCCCAGGAAACGGGACGTCGAGTTCGAGAAGATGGTGAAGCAAGCGGCGGCGGATCTGCTGCTTCAGCCGGAGGATGGGTTCATTTTAAAGGTCGTTCAGCTGGAGGAATTGTTGGAAGTGAGGCACTCGGTTTTCATCGTCGGTATCGCGGGGTCGGGAAAGACCCAAGTGTGGAAGACTCTGTTCAGAACCTACCAGAACATGAGGAGGAAGCCCGTCTACAACGATCTGAATCCAAAGGCTGTGACCAACGACGAACTGTTCGGAATAATTAATCCGGCGACCAGAGAGTGGAAGGACGGCCTGTTCTCGGTGATCATGAGAGAACAGGCCAATTTGGGCGGCGAAAACCCCAAGTGGATCGTTCTGGATGGCGATATAGATCCTATGTGGATCGAGTCCCTGAATACAGTCATGGACGACAACAAAGTTCTGACGCTGGCCAGCAACGAGAGGATAGCCTTGACGCCCGTGATGAGGCTGCTCTTCGAGATCTCGAACCTGAGGACAGCAACTCCGGCCACAGTGTCCCGAGCAGGCATCCTGTACATCAATCCGCAGGATCTGGGCTGGAATCCTTACGTCACCAGCTGGGTGGAGAAGAGAACGTCTCCGATCGAGAAGTCCAACTTGGTGATGTTGTTCGACAAGTACATTCCTCCTTGCTTGGAGACGCTGAGAACCAGGTTCAAAAAAATAACACCGATCGCCGACATGGCGCACGTCGAGATGCTCTGCCATCTTCTCCATTGTCTATTGAGACCGGAACTGACGAGCAGCGATTTCCTCAAGGAGCATTACGAGCTCTATTTCGTGTTTGCTGCCGTTTGGGCGTTCGGCTCGTCCATGTTTCAGGACCAGACGATCGATTATCGAGTGGAATTTAGTAAATGGTGGACCAACGAGTTCAAGCAAGTTAGATTTCCCACTCAGGGAACGGTATTCGATTATTATATCGACGCCGAGACGAAGTGCTTCGTTTCATGGACTCAGCGTCTGCCCAAGTTCGAGCTGGATTCCGAGATGCCTTTGCAAGCCGTTTTGGTCTACACGTCAGAGTCAATCAGAATCAAGTATTTCTTGGATTTGTTGATGGCGGAGAAACATCCGGTGATGTTGGTGGGCACTGCAGGCTGTGGCAAGACGGTTCTCGTCGCCGAGAAGCTTCTACATTTACCCGAGAACTACGCGGTGTCCAATGTCCCTTTCAATTTCTACACCTCGTCGGAGATGTTGCAGAAGATCCTAGAGAAGTCGTTAGAGAAGAAAGCCGGCAGAAATTACGGGCCCCCAGGGAACAAGACCTTGGTGTACTTCATCGACGACCTCAACATGCCCGAAGTCGACGCCTATGGCACGGTTCAACCCCATACAATGATTCGTCAGCATTTGGATTACGGCCACTGGTACGATAGAACGAAGTTGACGTTAAAGGACATCCACAACTGTCAGTACGTCAGCTGCATGAACCCCACCGCTGGCTCGTTCACGATCAATCCGAGGCTGCAGAGACATTTTTCGGTGTTTGCCGTCAGCTTTCCCAACACCGAGTCTCTAACTATGATCTATGCTTCCATTTTGTCGCAGCATCTGTCGAACATCGAGCACAGGTGAGTTCCAGATAGACAAGGGACTTCTTCGAGCGTTGAAACTTGCTAAGTTGGCGTTGGAAATTTACTTAATCAAGTAAAATTAATCAAACTCGAGGGGTCTCACAGCACAGTTTGATACAGTTCGATACAAGTTTCTATTTTTCTTTTCCAATCTCTACTTGAACAGATTTCCTGCCTGCGTCACGGAGCTTTGCAACAACATCGTGCAAGCCTCGATTCAGCTGCACCACCGCTGCGCCCAAATGTTTCTGCCAACAGCGGTCAAGTTCCACTACATCTTCAATCTCCGCGATCTATCGAACTGCTTTCAAGGATTGCTGTTCAGCGGGAATGAGTGTCTGCAGGCCCCCATAGACCTGATCAGACTTTGGATCCACGAGACCCATCGCGTCTACGGGGACAAGCTGACGGACGAGAAAGACATAGAAAGCTTCTCCAAGTTGCAGCTGGATATTTTGAAGAAGAACGTGGAAGAAGTCGACGAGGGTGCCGTTCTGGAGAAGCCCAACATCTACTGTCACTTTGCAGGTGAATGCTTCGTAAGATCTTCCAAAACGATAGTATCGTGAAACGTTCGAACTTTAGGTGGCGTTGGAGAGCCAAAGTACATGCCGGTGATCGAATGGTCAACGTTGCACCGATTGTTGTCGGAGGCGATGGTCAGCTACAACGATCTGGTAGCAGCTATGAACCTGGTGCTGTTCGAGGATGCCATGATGCACGTCTGTCGCATAAACAGAATCCTGGAGTCCCCCAGGGGCAGTGCGCTATTGGTGGGTGTAGGTGGTTCTGGCAAGCAGAGTCTGTCGCGATTGGCAGCGTTCATAAGCACGCTGGAAGTCTTTCAAATTCAATTGAAGAAGGGCTACGGCATCGCGGATCTCAAACTGGAGCTCGCCGTTCTGTACTCCAAGTCAGGATTGAAGAACATGGGCATCGTTTTCCTGATGACAGACGCCCAAGTGCCGAACGAACAGTTCCTGGTGCTGATCAACGATATGCTGGCTTCTGGCGAAGTTCCAGATCTGTTCGCCGAGGATGAAGTGGAAAATATAATTGCAGGTCGCTGGACACAGGGTGCAGTTGTTACGAGAGACAACTGCACGTTTTAGACAAACGTGTTGTTTAGCTTTGATAATTTGAATTGTTTAGGAGTCTCGAGCCCCGGGTTCTTTAATTAATCATCGACAGAATGAATTCTGACGCCCACAGGAGTCCGTAACGAGGTGAAAGGCGCGGGAATGTTGGACACCCGCGAGAACTGCTGGAAGTTCTTCATCGACCGGGTGCGCAGGCAGCTACGAATTGTTCTGTGCTTCTCCCCGGTGGGTTCCACTTTAAGGGTGCGCTCGAGGAAATTCCCGGCTATAATAAATTGCACGGCGATAAACTGGTTTCACGAATGGCCGCAAGAAGCTTTGATGTCCGTGTCGAAGAGGTTCCTGCAGGAGTTGGACGAACTTCCGGAGGCTTACAGGTATCGCATTCGAGTATCGATTCAACTTGGCCGTTTCGATACCAACTACGGGCTACGAGCGATATAATGCCTCGATGCTCTTACGAACGCAGAGACTCGGCGGCGAAATTCATGGCCCACGCTCACACGAGCGTGAACGCGGCCAGCAGGCATTATCTGGCCAGCGAGCGCCGTTACAACTACACGACGCCCAAGTCGTTTCTGGAGCAGATCAGTCTGTACGCTAAGCTGCTGAAGACAAAGGCGAGGGAGCTTCGAGCACGAGTGGCCAGACTGGAGAACGGTTTGGAGAAGCTTCGATCAACTGCCGTGCAGGTGGACAAACTTAAAGAAAAGCTAGCTGTCCAAGAGGTGGAGTTGCAGCAGAAGAACGACGCGGCTGACGCGCTGATCGCCATCGTCGGCATCGAGACGGACAAAGTGCAGAAAGAGAAGGCTATAGGTACTGTGTCGATCATATTTTCCAATATAATCGAATACAACAACAATCGTTTCGTTTTTAGCCGACGAGGAAGAGTGCAAAGTCGCGATAATAGCGGAGGAAGTGTCGAAGAAGCAGAAGGACTGCGAGGCGGATCTGCTGAAGGCGGAACCGGCGTTGCTGGCCGCCCAGGAAGCTCTGAATACCTTGAACAAGGCGAATCTCACGGAATTGAAGTCGTTCGGCTCGCCTCCAGGGGCTGTGACGAACGTAACGGCCGCCGTGATGGTCCTCTTGGCACCGTCTGGTAAAGTGCCCAAGGACAGAAGCTGGAAGGCTGCCAAGGTACGAACAAGGTCACCGATACAATCCCCCGAGACACCACACGGCCGCTGGCTCGTTTCGTAGATCGTGATGGCGAAGGTCGACACGTTCCTCGACTACTTGATCAATTACGACAAGGAGAACATCCATCCGGAGGTGATCAAGGCGATCCAACCGTATCTCAAGGACTCGGAGTTCGAGCCGGAGTTCGTTAGGTCAAAGTCCGCCGCCGCCGCGGGTCTCTGCGCCTGGGTCATCAACATCATCAAGTTCTACGAGGTGTTCTGCGACGTGGAACCGAAACGGAAGGCTCTGGCGCAGGCGAACGCAGAGCTGGCCGCCGCTCAGGAGAAGCTGGGCGGAATCAAACGCAAAGTCGCTGTACGTAGATGGTGAATAAATCGAATCTCGATCGATTTTCCAATTATCGAAACTGCGTTTTCCCGGGACAGTCGTTGGAGGAGCAGTTGGCGAAACTGACGGCGGACTTCGAGCAGGCCACGGCCGAGAAGCTCAAGTGCCAGCAAGAGGCAGACGCGACCAACGCCACGATCGCGTTGGCTAATAGGCTAGTAGGTGGCCTGGCGTCAGAAAACGTACGATGGGCGGATTCTGTGGCTACGTAAGTTACTAATTCGAAGATAGGAATTTTCTTTGAACCTAGAGAATATTGTTAGCCCCTTCGATACGACCGATTTTATCGAAGAAATCGGTCGCTGCCTTTCGAAGTAATAGGAGCGCGACAGCAAGTAAAAGGAAAACGAGACAAAAAGTGTCTGACAAAGGACATCGCTACGAGCTATCCTGAGGCGGAGTTTGCTAATTACGTCGTTGAAAAGTCCTTTGATATCGACGCCATTACACGCTGTTGCTACGTATTTTGAAACGGACACCATCGATATCTACGGTTATCAGATTTCAGATCGATAGGCGAGAGTATCCTATACTATAGTAGAGAACCTCTGTTGACACTCGTATGAAATTCATGGACCCCGTGTTAATGAACGTTTTTTCAATTTGTTAAAAGTTTCATGCAACAAGCGTCGACGCTGCCCGGCGACGTGCTGCTGGTAACAGCTTTCATATCGTACGTCGGTTGCTTCACGAAACAGTTTCGCCAAGATTTGCAGCACAAACAATGGATGCCTTATCTGCGAACCGTGGAACCGACGGTGCCGATCACCGAGGGGTTGGATCCCTTATCGTTGCTGACGGACGACACGCAAATCGCTAAGTGGAACAACGAAGGCCTCCCGAACGACAGAATGTCGACGGAGAACGCCACCATTCTAACGAATTCGGATCGTTGGCCACTGATGATCGATCCCCAGGTACGCTACAATCGTCCCCTCAACAGCGTTCTAATCTTAAACGGTATTTTTCCGCAGCTTCAAGGCATTAAGTGGATCAAGCAGAAGTACGGGGAGGAACTTAGGGTGATAAGGTTAGGCCAAAAGGGTTACTTGGATGTCATCGAGCAGTCCCTGGCAACCGGGTCTACGGTGCTCGTGGAAAACATAGGCGAAACGGTGGATCCCGTGCTAGATCCTCTGTTAGGCAGAAACTTGATTAAGAAGGGTCGCGCGATTAAGATCGGTGACAAGGAGGTCGAATACAATCCTCTATTCAGATTATTACTGCACACGAAGCTGGCTAATCCCCATTACAAGCCCGAGATGCAGGCTCAAACTACCCTAATTAATTTCACGGTGACGAGGGACGGTCTCGAGGATCAATTGCTCGCCGAAGTAGTGAAAGCCGAACGACCAGACCTCGAGGAGCTCAAGGCTGAGCTCACCAGGCAGCAGAACGACTTCAAAATTACGCTCAACAGTTTGGAAGACTCCCTCTTGTCGAGGTACGAAGTTCTTTCCTTCTTCCTTAGATAATTATTTTATAATCTTAGAATATTCGCTGGTTTAATTTGAAAGCGGAGTAAGTAAAAAGGATATTAGTCGAGCGAATTATGAAACAGACGCCTCGTTATCTCGAAACGAAGGAACCTTGCACCGCTTTCGAAATAAGCAATCCATTTACCGCGAAGAAGAGCGTCTTCAGCGAACGGTGAGGATCATAATTTTGCGGTCAGATTGTCGTCGGCGGGTAGCAACGTCCTGGGGGACACGTCGCTGGTGGAGAATCTGGAGACGACGAAAAGGACAGCGGCGGAAATCGAATCGAAGGTGACGGAAGCGCGCGGTACCAGCCGGGAGATCGACGCGGCGCGTGAATTGTATCGACCTGCGGCGGCCAGAGCCTCTTTGCTCTACTTTATCTTGAACGATCTGAACACCATCAATCCAATCTATCAATTTTCGCTGAAAGCTTTCAGCGTGGTGTTTCAGAAAGCCATCTCGAAGGCGGATCCCGCCCCGGACGTGTCCGGCAGAGTGAAGAATCTGATCGAGTGTATCACCTACTCCGTGTTCATGTACACGACCAGGGGCCTGTTCGAGTGCGACAAACTCATCTTCGCGTCTCAGATGGCGTTTCAGATTCTCCTGGCGAGGAAAGAGGTGACCGCCGGCGAGCTGGACTTCCTTTTACGGTTCCCCGTCACGCCTCATGTCACCTCGCCCGTCGACTTTCTCACAAACACCAGCTGGGGCGGAATAAGGAGCCTCGCCAGCCGCGAGGAATTCCGGTAAGCTGACCAGAAGTCATCGAACATCGCAACTATCCCGATAACTGACCATCTGTACTAAAATAATTTGGTTTTTAAAAGACCTTGCTTCGAACGGAAGCACATCGAAAGAGTAGATGTAACTATTCTTTTGCAAAGGGGGGAAATAAAACCAATATTGGCTCCGAACGCAGCACCGGTAGAAAATGAACCTTTCGTGCGTTGACCTTTTGTTTCGTCCCCGCGTCTGTATCGAAGTGGCTCGATTTCTCGGGAAAGAAATTCTTTGGAGAGCCTGGGAGCCGTCTTTTGAGCAGCTCACGATATATGGAACGCGCGAGGCTTTTGATTCTCCCTCGCATAAGAGACTATATTTCTCTGCGCAGTAATCTAGACAGAGACATAGAGGGCTCGGCGAAGAGATGGAAGAAGCTGGTGGAGTGCGAGTGCCCCGAGCGGGAGAAATTCCCGCAGGAGTGGAAAAATAAAACGACCATACAGCGTCTGTGCATGCTGAGAGCTCTGCGACCCGACAGAATGACTTACGCGATCGCTGCATTCATCGAGGAGAAGCTGGGCCCCAGGTACATCGAGGGTAGAACGGTCGAATTTGCCAAATCGTTCGAGGAGACCAGCCCATCCATCCCGATCTTCTTCATCCTTTCTCCGGGGGTGAATCCCCTCAAGGTAACGAGCACGAATAATCATACGCGTCCCGCGAACCTGATCGACCGTTGCTCGACAAGGACGTGGAGGATCTGGGTCGTCGTCTGGGATACACGCTGGACAATCAGAATTTCCACAACGTGTCGCTGGGTCAGGGCCAGGAGACGGTCGCCGAGCAGGCGATGGACGTGGCGGCGAAGAACGGCCACTGGGTAGTCCTGCAGAACATTCATCTGGTGAAGAAATGGCTACCATTGTTGGAGAAGAAGCTGGAACTAGCGGCGGACGGTTCCCATTCGGATTACAGGGTCTTCATGAGCGCTGAACCCGCCAGCACGCCGGCGGGGCACATAATCCCTCAAGTAAGCTCGACTTCTTTTTTCTCTGTAAGTCGATCGGACGCTAAAACCCGACGAATCAGGGCATCCTCGAGTCGTCCATCAAGATCACCAACGAACCGCCCACGGGGATGCAGGCGAACCTGCACAAAGCCCTGGACAACTTCTCCCAGGAGACCCTGGAGATGTGCAGCAAGGAGGCCGAATTCAAGGCGATCCTCTTCTCCCTGTGCTACTTTCACGCGGTTGTCGCCGAGCGCCGCAAGTTTGGCCCCCAGGGCTGGAACAAAGTCTACCCCTTCAACGTAGGCGACCTACACATCAGCGTCAGCGTGCTCTACAATTATCTGGAGGCGACGTCCAAGGTGCCTTGGGAAGATCTCAGGTTCGCGATAACTTTGCCTCTCTTTCCCTTGACATGGATTCTAATCTTCTTCGAGATTAATAAGTCGCTTCTCCGTGCGTGTTGCTAATGGTTGGGTTCTCTTTTTTCCGAGTCTTTTATTACCTCTATCCCTAAATCTTAATGGATCTGATCGTTTATCTCGTACTTAAAACCAAACAAGTGTTCTAATCGACGAAGGTACTTGTTCGGGGAGATCATGTACGGCGGACACATAACCGACGACTGGGACAGAAGACTCTGTGTCTCGTATCTGGAAGAATTGATGCAACCCGACTTGGTCGATGGAGAACTGCAATTGGCACCGGGTAGAATACTTTTTCAATTTTTAATCAAGACGAGCACCCTAGCGTATTGGATGTTCGATGATTAATGATTTTAATTTTGAAGGATTCCCGGCGCCGCCTAATACAGATCTAATTGGCTATCATGCGTACATCGACGAAGCTATGCCTCCAGAGTCACCCTATCTCTACGGATTGCACCCGAACGCAGAAATAGGATTTCTGTCGATGACTGCTGAGAATCTCTTCAAGACTGTGTTCGAGATGCAACCTAGGGACGCGGGGAGTTCAGGGGGACAAACAGTGACCAGAGAGGATAAGGTAACAATTCGACTAAAATCCTGGTTTTAACACGTTCATTGCCACAGGTTACTGGTGATTGTTTCTAGCTTGCACCATTTTCTTCAGATCGAATAATAACTTTGAAATAGCCCCTATCGAAGCGTGTTAATAAGGAACAATATTTTACTGGGGAATGTTCGAAGGTGAAGCAAATATTGGACGAGATAATGGAGAAATTGCCGGACGAGTTCAACGTGGCCGAGATAATGAGCAAGGTGGAGGAGAGGACGCCGTACGTGATCGTGGCGTTTCAGGAGTGCGAGAGGATGAACTATCTAACGATCGAGATCAAACGATCGCTGCGCGAACTGGACTTAGGCCTGAAGGGCGAGTTGACGATCACCTCGGACATGGAGGACCTGGAGAACGCGCTGTTCCTCGACCAGGTGCCCCCCGTCTGGACCCAGAGGGCTTACCCGTCTTTGCTGGGTCTCGCTGCTTGGTTCGTCGACTTGCTATTGCGAATCAGAGAACTGGAGACCTGGTCTACAGACTTTGTTGTAAGATCCCTTTGCGTTTAACATTCTATCGACACCTAGCCAAGGATGAAGGGTTAATTTTAGGATTTCGATTCAGTTGCCAGCTTCTGTTTGGTTGGCCGGGTTCTTCAATCCTCAGTCCTTGCTGACAGCCATAATGCAGTCGACTGCCAGACGGCAGGAGCTGCCCCTTGACAAGATGTGCTTGCAGTGCGACGTGACGAAGAAGAATAAGGAGGAATTCACGTACGTGACAAAGAATGTCCATTATTTTCGCGTCCTCTGTCCACCAATATGAGGTATCCTGAACTTTGTGCTTTCCATGTTAGTTCGGCCCCCAGGGACGGCGCTTACATCCACGGGATCTTCATGGAGGGTGCACGATGGGACGTTCAGACCGGCGTGATAGTCGATTCGAAGCCGAAGGAGCTGTTCCCTGCCATGCCTGTGATCAACGTTCGCGCGATCACGCAGGACAAACAGGATCTGCGAAACATGTACGAGTGTCCTGTCTACAAAACGCGGACTCGAGGACCCACCTACGTGTGGACTTTCAACCTGAAGATCAAGGAAAAGCCAGCCAAGTGGACTCTGGCCGGCGTCGCACTGTTGCTTCAAACTTGAATCGTGTTTTCGATAGTACCTGAGCTTCTATGTAAATTAATAAGTAGAATTATCAATAAAGCAGACCAATAGTCTTGAAAGAAACGTCTATTTATTCACGTCCTGATCCCCCAGAGACTTTTTTCGCAATAATTACAGTTCCAGAATGTACGAGTATTCGTTAGTAATTCACGTTGTATTTGATTGATCTGATTTCGATATATCGTTAGCGTTGGAACAGTCTAAGTCAGCCCTTTAAAAAAAGGATGGCCCCCATTTGCCGAACGACTCCAATATACCAGTGGACGCAGGACCGTAATTGCGTCGGAGGAAGAAGAGAATAATTCGAGCGTAAATCCCGAAGGACCCATCGAACGGAGGATATCACGAGGTCGACTAATCGACCGAGAGTTAATAAACCGTAAGACAGAAGAAAACCGACGGCCTCCACGGAGGCTCCCGGTTCCCAGTCCCGGGATAGAAAGAGAAGCTATCTGTTGTTCCTCGAAACAAAATTATCCCCGAATCGCGGGGGATCGATAGTCGCCGATACAACGGAGACGAAATCGGGACTCGAGTCGAGTGGCGGGGGCGTAAGGAACGAAAAAATAGAAACGGAACGGAAACGTAAGGTGAAACACACAGGATACAAGAGAGCCTCGCCCGCCTCGGGGACATAAAAGCTTTCAGATTGCGGCGCGGGATCAAAATTGTATCGTGTTAGCGAAAGAAATTAGATTTCCCTTACCAACGGGAACGTCGAAGCGCGCAGCGATTCGCTCTCGGGGAACGATCTCTCGCAACAGAATGGAATCCCATCAAATATGCAGAGGTTATTAGCTCTCGAAGGGGCGAGGAAAAATGTTTGCCCTCCCGGTTTCTTCCCGTCCCTTCTACGGAGGATTTTATTCAGCGGCCTCACGGCCGGGAACGGTCCGCGCTGTTTGCCCCTTTAAGACAGAAGGACCATAAACTCTTGTTGATCAACCTGTTAACTAATGCAGCTGATGCTTGCTCAAACCTTCGGGGAGTACTTCGTTTAAAAAATCCTGGATCCTGCGTGCAAGTAGTCTCTTTTAAGCCCGGAGTCCTCGTTCGACGGAGAATATAGGCGTAATTCCCTTTTACTGGCAGCATTCACGGCATGCTTAATCATCGACTTCCAGAGGCAGATTTCAGTATTGCAAATGGCGCTTTCAAAGTATTCTGCATAATAGATTGTTTGTTATGTTCGTGCGTTCGGAAAGAGCATGGTAAAAATATGAAAATTGCAGCGTATCATCTTCGCGATGATAGATATGAATATTGTTGTCCTTAGTCGGTAGCAATACTTCCCGCGCTCGCTGACAGAGGGCTACGCTGAAGCTGTACCTCTCTAGCAAGTGCTCGATCGACCAGTACCAACGTAAAGAAAAAATTGAATCTCTTTTGCAAAGAAATCTTCGATTAGGGAATTGTATCAAACGAGAGGCCGACGTCTTGATGGTCGAGAAGATATATAATTACAAAACATGATGATTCTCGAGTTCTAAAGAATAATTTAACACATGTATCGATGAAGGAAGTTGTAAATAATATTAAGCTCTCGAATAAGAAACTGATCGGGAGAAAATGTTGGGAGCAAATCCAAGGTTTTTCACCTCGACGTTGTTATAAGGGGTGTTTGATTAGACCGGCACAAAGGAAAAGGCCCGATGGTCCGGCGGACGGTGTGCGCTCTCTGCACAAAGTCAACTCATGAATCCCATCGAATCAAAGGGGCAGAGGAAAAAAGTGTTCGGGCCTCGGTGATTGGCTGGCAAACACCCTCCTCGTGATTCGCGCCGATCGATTGGCCCCTCGTGCACCAGCTTCAATCACGGTTTTCATTAAGCCTCGCCGGACAACGAAGGGCAAGGACGGGATCGAATACCCGGTGCTCCTTGCGTCAACGAGAGGAAGCCGTCGTTTTCCTGGCCTCTACTTCCTGGAATCGGTTTTCCAAAGGAAGCTCCGACGCGGCTGATTGGGCATCAGCCACTCGTTCCGCGATATGGTCGATATTGAACGAGTTTTGTTATCGAAGTGGGAAAGAAGGCGAAAGTGGAAACGAAAAAAGTTCTCAGGCTCCTTCTGGGAAACCAAAATCGGTGGAGTTTCGAAGAACCTTCAACTGGGATCAAAAGGACTCTCGAATGAGACGATTAGAACATAACGCAGACTCTATTGTAGTGTATTCCAAGATCCAAAAGACTGGCTTGTGTTATTTTAAGTTTCTCTATGTAAGATACCATGCTACTAAATTAATTTTAAGACGAAGTAAACAACACCTGAAAGGCCTAAAGAGTTTGAAAGATGTTCAGAAGTTGCAGTGGCTACTTGTTTATTTTCGATTTTGATTTTCGGACGCACAATCGCCGTTCGTCGCGGAGTATTTCGAGGGTTATTTCGCATAACGAGCGATCGATAGAGAGAATATAATAAGGCGGCTGGAGTCGAGAGGCTTCCAAGAAGCGGGAGTGGCTCTTTGACAAAGAATTCTTAGCAACGAGTAATCTTCCCCTCGGAATGCTAATTTGGACGGAGACTAGTCGTCCGCCCTTCGACGTCGGTCGCGCGCGGCGTCGAATTTAATTCGCCAAAATTCCCTACCCGGCGGATTTCGAGCGTCGACTCGAGGAATCACGGGATCGCTCGCACGTGGCCGTTGCTGCCCGTGCGTCTGCATCTGCTCGAAACGCGATCGTTAATGGATGCTCGTTAGCGTGACAAATCGCTTGTCAAAACGACGCGCCGCCCGTTCCTCGCAACTGTCGTTTCGCCATCGCGGTATCGGCTCGCGAGATCGATCGGAGATCGATGGACGTCCGCGAACAAATTGAATACAGTCACTTTTTGTGCAACGAAAGCAATCAGTGTTTCTGGATGTAAAACATTCGGTTGAAACGAGACGCTAATAACGAATAATAATAATAATATAGTAAACGTGCGAGACAACGTCATTCCCGACAAGGGTGGTCCCAGCGTTCATCCAAGGGGCAACTTTTGCCGCGGGAAATCGTTAAGGATCAGGCTCGTAAGCATGCAGCCGGCTGGAAGAGTTAACGACGCCTCTGCGTCCTCCTAAAAGCCGGGGACAGGATCCATTTTTCATCGGAGTCGGCGCAGGCTCGTCCGTCCGTTCCTCTCGCAGGTTAATCATTTTTAAAGGACCGACCGCAGGTGTCCCCGTCCGCCATGCTACTCGTGACCTTATATTAAACGTAGGAGGAGGGCCCCGTAGGCACGCGAACCGACTTCCCCGGGTCGGGAATTAAAATTTCCACGAGAGGGGAATCTCCGTTCGCGGCGAAATAATGAAACGGCGTCGTGCAATTTGTTTTGCATACGAGTGACATTTTTCACGTCCGTCAAGAATCTGACGTCCCCCGTCCCGGGTCCCTCCCTTTAAAATTAGATTCGTTTCGCGAACAGATTACAGCCTCCACCCCGAGCGCTTGGCAGCAATTTTTCTGCGAAACGATACACCATTCTAACCCGAAATACCATAAGTCGCGTGTCGGGCGTAATTCCAAAGCTACTTCCACCGAAGCAGTTTCAGGAAACGGGGGGTGGCTTCTTACGGTGGAGAATTTGTTCCAACTCGGGGAACGTTACTGTACCGGTTCGTTCGAGAGTAAGTACCGGAAGGAGCTTCTTCCTCCCCAAAAACAACGTCCAGGTACCAGACGTGTCCGAGGAACGACACGTGTTGGCCGTAACTCTACCTCGCGCCACCCCCATGAATTCTCTCGCTAACGTTCTGCCAACACCGAGTGCTTTTTCTTTCGCCGCCGGATAAATTCCACCCCACTCCTCGTGCAGCGTCACACCGCCTATCGCACGCTCTCCGGTCGAACATCCCTTTGAGGGTATTTTAATATCGCGTGCACGCGCTTCCACGTCGGCCAGCTTTTCGCCGCATTGCAGTACTTGAATCGATTGACCCTCCCGTAGTCGCACGGATGATAATCGTCATTCGACCGAGCTTCAAACCACTGATTTTTCGACCGTCAACAGTCAATATTAACCCCTCCGACGCCCGCGCAATTCACCGATCTTTGCTTTGCGTCGATAGTTTACACTCGATCGCGTGTACGAATTATTTCGTTAGCTACCTTCTTTCGGCAGCTCCTCTGAAAATAATTGCTGGAATTTCTGTTTGATTCTCCGCAGAATATTTAATAAAGACCGCGATGGTGACTTTAATCCGAGGAATACGTTCGTCAACAAACACAGAAGCGTCCAATTTTCCATCGACGAACCCTCTTTTGCATTCTCGTTTCGCGGCGTTGTTCCGTTAAGCGACGGGTCAGACGGTTCAACGAAGACTCGTCCGTAACGTCCAAGCAATTAGAAATTCATATAAATAATCCGCGCCGGCAATTAAGGGTTAATTGAATTATCCGGCTCGTCGTGCTTCGAAATAATTATCCCCGGTGACGGGGAGCTGGATTCGCGACGGTCGAAGAATAATGGAGGCCCGGCGTTCGGCTGACAGCTTTCGCGAGGTGCCCCCCGTCTCTCAGTTAACCGGTAGCCGATGCGGCGCGTTTCAAACGTCTACCGACGATTAATTTTTATCCTAATTAAGCGTAATTTATTTATAGACCGTGCCGGTAATCCAGCCGCCTTTACCGGGGTCGCCTCGGTCGCTTTGCGAAATCAAAGGTGCAAAGCCTTCGCGAGACCAAGTTCGATAAACGCGACCGGTAGGGGGAGGAGGAATCGGAGGAAAATTAATGAAACAGGAGCGAAGGGACGAGCGAAAAGGGACGAGAGAAGATCCCGGGGCCGGCTAACTAGAGAGGCCTTTGAGCGTCTGAGTTCGGCTCAGCAGATCTGTAAACCAATCAGTGACGCCTCGTCGATACGGAAGGCTAAGTCGACGTAACCGGATCGCTCGACTAAACTGCTTACTTGATTATAGCGTTAGTTAGCGCCCCGTGGTCGCTCGTCTGTGTCGCGGGGAACCAACCCCTAAATTCCGACCACGTAGATCG